GGTTTGGTTCCTAGGACCCATATGGTATAAGAAGAGAAAGCTATTCCTAAAAGCCGTCTTCTCATCTCCACGTAGATGCCATGGCACTTGGGCACACGTACACAATAAAAATGTAAATTAAAGTGAGGATAAGAATCGTGTGACTCGGACTAGCGACGGTTGAGAACAGTGTCACCCCGATGTTCAATAAATGTGACAGCCTGTATTGCTGTGATACTTCACAAGAGGAAGGGTGACCAGTCCACACAAATAGCTGTTCCTTTAACACCTGTGTAAGCATCGTGGGGGTGCCTTTGAAGGATTTCAGAAGGCTGGAGGTACCCTCCCAGCGCTGTGTGAGTCAGAGACACTCTGTGGAGTCAGTGGACGGCTCTGAGACTGGAGGCCGGAGAGAGAGCTAAGCTCTTTCCTGCCTCAGTGACTGGAAAATGGATTAAAATTCTGTACATTCTGAACTAGCTATGACCCAGAATATGAAAGAGTCAGTCTGTTGGTGCCTCCCCCCCCCCCCCCCGCCTCCGCCGCCAGCGAACTCAGGGTTCCCAGCTCTCAAACTGATCTGGGGACACACACAGACTTGGAAAGAGGAGCCTTGGGCAAGGTCTAGAGTGAGCAGATCTCAGAGCTGGAATGTGCTGTATAGAGGCTGGGCTTATAGAGGCTGGGACGACTGGGAATTTAAAAAGAGGACATCCACTTCTACAGGTGACAAACTCGGCTATAAAGCAGAAACTCAATGCAGCAGAGAGACCTGAGGACCAGTGGCCTGCAAGGCAAGTTTTAAGGAGTCTCTCAGAAAAGCAGCCAAGAGACACATAGAGGTTCAGTGAGGTTACTGTTATGCCCAAATCCGTGAAGTCCCCCAAAAGCCAACAAGAAGACTGAGTCCCGTATGTAAAAGCAAAGAGCCTTTATTTTATGCAAGTTTGCAAACTCGGTCTCTTTGCATGTCCAATGTATTGGAATAAACAGAAAACCCAGAGCTCAGTTAGAGTTGGGTTTTTATAGTAGTAAAGGTGGGGATAAGGGGTTTCTGAGGTCCAGGACCCCTGATTGGCTGACATTTGTCTAGGGGTGTCCTGGAGTGTGTGCTGGCAGGTGGTCCTATCTACAGTGGTTGGAATGTTAGGCATTTTCTTTGGATGGTCTGTTCTTGGGTGGTGCTCAGGTAATCTCAGTTTGTGATTCTTCCTGCAACCAGGTATTGCTTCAGGGTAAACTACTGAGACTCAGGCCTCTATTAAACTTATTATCATGGCTGAGTCCTACTCTGGCAGGTGATAATGGTTGGAAGTAAAGAACTTCCAACTGATCTGTTCATATTTAGCTAACCTGCTGGCCCTTACATTTATGAGATGAGGTTGCAGGAACGTGGTCAAAAGGCCCTGTCCACCAGGTTTAGAAAGATACTTGACATGGGTTTGTTTTGTTTTGTTTTTGAACCTTGTTTTTATTGTTTTAAACTTACTTGTTTTACAGGGCTCACTATGTAGTGCTGGCTAGCCTGGAACTCACACAGATCCGCTGGCTTCTGCCGCCCAAGTGCTACCCCACACACCTGGCTTGACACAGCCTTAGAAGAAAGGGGTAGGAAGAAGGCTAGAGAGTAATTCGGTGGGAAAGATCCTACCTAGCATGCACAGATCATGGGTTCAATCCCCAGCACCACTTAAAAAAAAGTGGGGGGATGTGTCGGAGGTGGGGGTGGAGTGGGTGTCACAGAAAGTTTGGGAATTTGTCTAAGGCCACCCAACAGCATAAGCCTTGGGACTTGCGTCCGGGCTCCTTCCACCTGCCTGTCACGAAAAAGCACACATTGCAGAGTACACTGCGGAGCAAAGGCTTGCAGTGTGGAAAATGCTCGAGGTTTGAAGGGAAGCGTGATGGACCAATATAGCAAAGTGTGCCGAAGAGAGGATGGGGCGTGGTTTCCAGCCACTTCTGGGGAGGACCTGCGGCCTGGAGACCACAATGTCAAAAAGAAAAGTCTGCTCATAGCCATATGCCTTGGAACTGAGATGCAGGTCTTCGGCCAGAACCTCAGCTGCACCTGCAGCTCATTCGGACCTAGGCACACGCCTGCATCTGTAACTTTTGCTTGCGAACGTGCAAGGCACCCTGGGGGCGGGGCGGAGCTAGGCGAGCACGCTCTCGTCTTTGAAATTCTTCCACCTCACACTTAACGTGGTCGTTAGCGGTCTCAGGCGGGGAGTCCCTCCCGGTTCAAACCCGGTTGGTCAAAGGTAAGGTCCGAAGGAAGAGTGAGGGCAGGAAACTGGTCACAGGCTCCTGTGGTGAGAAAAGTGAGGCTCCTTATATGGGCGTGAGGCTGAGAGGGCGGGACTTAAAAAACGGGCGCGGCAAGCGAGGCACCCCAAGCTTACAAACCAGCCCTCTCAGCAGAGCCGCCCAGCTGTGGGACTGTGCAACCGGCTGGTGGTCTTTCTAAATCCCAGTAGCTTCGTTTCTAGAACCGGAAAACAATCTTAGGACTGACGGCGGTGTAGAATAAACAGCAAAATTCCTGCTAATAGCTGAGCTGGTGTTTAGCGTGGTTCAGTCACTTCACACGTTTATAAACGCAGCTTGGTGCCAGGCTATTCTGTATGCTGCGTGTGTATAGGAGGGACCATCATCTCTTCAATACACACAGTGACTGTACGTACCAGGAGGGGCACATGCAGGTCACAGGGAGTAAGAGGTGGGCAGCACGCTGCCATGGATGATAGAAGGACTCGCTGCATTTAAATTCGGGAAGGAGGGAATAAGGTAGAGGGGAAGGGACGGAGGGAGAAAAAAAGAAAAGGGAAAAGGCTGGCGATGTGGTTCTGTAGTGTGCTTGCCTAGCATCCTAGCATGCAGAAAACCCAGAGTTCGCGCTCCAGCGCGGCACAGACTATACTAGGTGTGGAAGCACAAGCCAATAATCTCAACACTTGGGATCATCCTTGGCTATACATAGCAAACTTAGGGTTATTCTGATCTCCAAAGCAGAAGAGAGACTGGCGAGATGGCTCCGTGGTTGAAAGCACTCATTGCTCTTCCAGAGGACCCAGCTTTGGTTCCCAGCACCCACGTGATGGCTCACAGCCACTTGTAACTCCAGATCCTGGGGATCTGATATTCTTAGATGGGCATGGTGGTGCACGCCTTTAATCCCAGTACTTGGGAGGCAGAGGCAGGTGGAGTTTTGTGAGTTTGAGATCATGATGGTCTGTATAGTGAGTTCTAGGCCAGCCAAGGTTTACATAGACCTTGCCTCAAAAGAAAAAAAATCAATGGACTGGAGAGATGGCTCAGCGGTTAAGAGCATTGCCTGCTCTTCCAAAGGTCCTGAGTTCAATTCCCAGCAACCACATGGTGGCTCACAACCATCTGTAATGAGGTCTGGTGCCCTCTTCTGGCCTGCAGGCACACATGTAGACAGAATATTGTATACATAATAAATAAATATTAAAAAAAAGAAAAAAATCAAAAAAGAAGAAAATATAACAACAGAAAGGGGAGAAGCTATGTGGGGCAGTGAGCAGAGACCCCCAAGGGGCCTATGCAGAGAGGGACCATGTCTAGAATAGCCAAGGGTGTGGCTATTACGAGGAACAGTGCCCTGTGACCAGGGTATCTTCTTTCTCCACGGAGCCTGCCTGACCATCCCTTTCCCTGTCTTTATGCTAAGAATCTAACCCAGGTCCTCATATATTTCAGGCCAGTGTGCCACCCTGAGCTAAACCCCACCCCAACCCATCTAATGGAATGCACAACTCTCCCACAGTCCATGGAGCCAAGACCTGCCACCAGATACAAGGAGAATGTACCCCCAAAGATTGTGACCGTCCTGGGGCCAGGTAAGAAGCTCACTGAACTTGGTAAGGCAGTAGCAGTGGGGTCCTCCCCAGGCACCTACCTAGCAACCTCCTAGCTCTGGAGATTTGCTTCCCAAGGTCGGCTTGGTTGGTACAGCATCATCCCAAAGGAGGGTTCTTGAGAAGGATGGAACGGTGGGGCCTCAGGAGGGAGGAGTTCCAAAGGGGAGGATCTTGGGAGGGCACCTTCTCTGAAGGGTGGAGTCCCTGTGGGGTAGGGCCCCAGAAATGTAGGTCCCTGAGCCAGAGTTACTAGAGAGTGAGATCCTGGGAGTGAGGGATTTCAGGCAATAGGAAGGCCACAGAGCTGGTCCAGTCAAGGGTACAAACATCCCCAAAACAAATTCAGATTCTGATTTCCCCTCTCTTTTAGGTTTTTCAAGGCAGGGTTTCAGGCTGGAGAGATGGCTCAGTGGTTAAGAGCACTGGCTGCTCTTCCAGAGGTCCTGAGTTCAATTCCCAACTACATGGTGGCTCACAACCATCTGTAATGAGATCTGGCGCCCCCCTCTGGCTTGTGGACATACATGGAGGCAGAATGTTATATGCATAATAAATAAATCTTAAAAAAAAAAAAGACAGGGTTTCTCTGTGTAGCCTTGGAACTTACTCTGTAGACCAGGCTGGCCTTGAACTTACAGAGACCCACCTGCCCCTGCCTCCCGAGTGCTGGGATTAAAGGTGTGCACCACTACCACCTGGCCAGATTCTGATTTTTATGCGTGGATCAACTGGGGTCACTAAAGGGCATCCAAGGGGGTGCTGCTAGTTCTGGGTGACCACTGGGTAAATTGTAAGCTGGTCACCCTTCTCCTTTTTCTTTCCCTCCTTTCCCCCTTCTTCTCAGTTGGTTGCCCCCATATCAGACAGCTCTCCTCTGTCCCCTCCTCTTCCATGCTCTCTGTAGATGGTCTCATGACAAACCATACCACAACCTGGCTTTGAGGCCCAAGGCCTGGCCTGCACATTGGCTCCCTCAAGGCTGTGGAGCTGAAGTCCTGACTCCCTCCCACCAGGAGCCCTGCCACTCACCGGCTCTGAGGCTTGGATACCCATTTGTCTTACCAGAAGCCATCACCTGGTCCTAGGGTGTGGCTGTCTTTCTTCCTTATAGAGCTGAAGAGACCCTGGAGGAACATGGACATCAGCCTGGGGAACAGAGGAGGCCGGAGGATGCCCGTATGCCAGGCTGCCACACGCCCCCAAGGCTCAGCGTTATGCCAGAAACCCTACCAAGTTCAAAGTAATCTGGCCAGCCCCCGCCCCCACCTGGCCCCTGCCCTGAAGGACACAACCGACCAACTAGGTGACACAGGTCTTTGGCAACAGAGTAACCTACAGCTTCCAGCAGGGAGGTCCCCGGGGAGGTCCCGAGAGCCCTTTGCACAGCAGAGTAACCTGTGCTACAGAGGAATCCCTAGTTCTCATTTGCGCAACAGCTGCCTGCCACCAACAGGCCCATCCTCCTGCCAGAGGCAGACACTCCAGGTCACAGACACCCTCTGCTTGGACATGAGACTCTCTGGGGGCTTGGCACCTCTTGACAAGTGCACACGGCCCGGCCCCAGGCTCTGGTGTGGTTCAGGGAGCAGGGTACCCAGGCTCATGGGGGAGCCCCTTACCTTGGAGGATCTGTCTGTGTCTGTCCACTGCCAGTCTTGGGCCCATTCCTGTTCCGCATGCAGTACTGACCACTGGCTGCTGGACTCCATCCCACACCTAGAGCCTGAGACAACCCATTCAGGGAGCCAAACATCCCAGGAGTACCCAGCTCCTACGCAGAGGGGGCCCCACACTGGTGGTAGCCAGTCAACCCCTGCCCAGCATTGGCCCAGTCTCCTAGAGACTCTTGAGGTCCAAGCTAGACTCTCAGAGTCCCCTGTGTTCAATCCCCTGTTACATGAGGCCACTCTGGGAACACTGCCTGGAGATTTCTCCAACTCAGACCAGGAGATTCTTTCTACCCGGCACCTTGGGGCAAGAGAGAAGGGCTCCCCAGGCCTTCCATACAACAAGAGGAACAGAGGGCACTTCAATGTCACAGGAGAGGCAGGGAGCAGGGAGGCCAGACTCAAATCTCCGACCTTCTTCAGTGTCCTGCCTGGGCAGGGAGGAAGAGAGAAGGTCCCACAGGAAAAAACAGGCAGGGATGGGGAGAGGATGGCCTCCTGCCCATCAAATACAACCCCAGCTCAGAGAACTCGGCAGGTAGGGGCCCCCAGATGCGGGGAGAGGGGATAGGGAGCAGGGAACCTTGGCTAGAGTTGTCATTCCTACTCTCTAGCCTGAGAACTGTCATGGCTTTTGTTTCTGCAGAACAAGGCTCAAAGTGTCAGGACCTCAGATCCCCAGGCAGCTTGGTGAGGCCCTGTTGTGTGGGAGTGGGGGTAGTCAGGGGCCACTCCAGGGACAGCTCCTGACCCATCTGCCTGTGCTATCAGGACTTTATAGAGATAGGCATCTAATGGCAGAACCTCGGCAGGATTTCAAGGGGACAGAGCTGTCTTCATACATAAGAAACCAGGGACCTCCAGGGCCCAAAGACAAGCCCTACGCCCCTGGGTTTGGATGGCTGGAAATTGTAGACATCAGTGTAGTGGGGCAGTTGTCCTCTCTCGGGGAGCCTGTTGCTTCAGGGGCAATGGGAAGGGGGCGATTTCAAGTCCAGGCATCAGCAAAGAGAGTTCTTTAGGTCTGCAGCTGGGACTGCTGCTGTGGACGGCTGTCACCTTCATTACTGCACAAACCACATGAATGGAGTCCCAGGGAGCTGAAAGTTGTGTCTGCCCCTCATCAGTCTTGCTCTGTCCCCAGCCGGAAACTGCTGTCCAGAAGCTTCAGAGCCTGGAGGTGCTTGTCCCAGAGGCACCAGGCAAGAGCTGAGGCCGTAGTAACTCAGAACCACAGGCGGCTGATTCAAAAGAGCCTCAGACTACTGCGCTGTGTCCTAAGGCTCCGCGAGGCCCGGCTGGAGGCAGCATGGGGACAGCATGCAGAAGCCCTGCAGGCCTGGAGCTTCCAAGAGGTCGGTGTTCTCTAGCTTGGAGCTTGGGGGGCAATGCCATGGCTCTGGTGTGCCTGAGAGGGAGGCTACGCCCTCTGAGAGAGAGCGTCTGCAGGCCCAGGTTGCAGCTCATGAGTGACCTCTCCAGTTCCCTGTGGGCAGTTTTTTATTAGTGATTTGCTAACTTGGCTGGGGAGGCTGTGTGGGTGTTCTTCCTCCTTGGATATGGAGACAGTCCATCATTTCTGAGGAAATGGGGTAGCATTAGGATAGGGATAGTGCTTGGGCAGCTGACAGGAGCCTCAGTGCAGGCCTAAACCGGCAGGTGCCCCTTGTCTTTTGACCCAGGGGAGCCATGTCACTTTGCAGCAGAAACAGGAGCAACCCCACAGCCAGGCTGCATCACCATTCCTTGCTTCTAAGGGAAGCCCTTCCTTGGGAAGAAAAGCAACCATGGACCTTGCCTGTAAATGCAGGTGAGCTTGGGCACCAAGACTGGGCAATGTGGCCTAGGCAGCTGGTGGCCTGCTTCCCTGCCCCCGCCCTGCCCCTGCCCACAAAACAAACAAACAAACCCCAAAGCCAGCAATCATGAGCTGCTAAGGGGCCTCTGTGGTGTTTTGAGATTGGTGGAAAAGGTGTTTGGGGTCAGTTCCCACCTAGCTTGGGAATCATGGGGGAGGAATTGAGATTTTATTCTAGGAGCAAAGGGGATGCCTTAGGAGGCTGAGCAAGTACTTAAGCTGATTGGACTCTAGATGAGAGAAACACCACTATGGTCACTGAGTCGGAACCAACAGAATGAGCGAGACAAGGGTGGCCGTGGGAGGCCGGGCGGGGGGATGCTGGGGTTTCCAGGCCCTTGGGAACGACATTTGTAGCCTGAGCAGATACCACACTCAGTTCCTCACAGCCTTCTGTTTCAAAGATGAGAAACAGAGACTCGGAAAGATGAAGTCCGGGCCCACAGAAGTGTGTGTGTGTCAGGAGGCAGGTGACTGCAGGTGTCACCAAGGGTAGTTTCCCTTCCCTCTCTAGGTGCTTTAGGGCCTGGCAACGGCTCACTCAAAGAGCGGCCCAGTACAGGAGACACCTGGCCCGCCAAAGAGTGAGGCTCCTGAGGATATGCCTGGGACAGTGGATGAAGATGAGGCAGCTCCAGGCCTCAGATGTGGCAAAGGTGGCTCAGTTGGCCTTCTACCAGCAGAAGGCAGGTGAGCCATGGCAAATACAGGGGAGGGGGACCCTTCCCTCCATCAGAGCTCCAATTGGTTAAGCTCTGGAGGCCAGTGAAACACGTGAATATTATAATAAGGGAGAGGACCGAGCTAGGCCTTGGGGGATCTGGGGGTCTGGTGGGGCTTGCCTGTACTAGAGGTCTGGGAAGGGTTCTCAGAGGGAGCAGGCCTTTTCTGTGCTGCATCCCTGTCCCCTTGTAAGCTGTTCTGGGCAGGGGACTATTCTGGCTTAGTGTTGAGTTGTCCCACATTCTACCTTGAAAGTATGTAGCCCTCTGTTCCAGGAAGGCCCTGATCTGCTGGAGGGGGGCATATAGTCCCTTCCCAAGCTGGGGAAGATGGGGACTTGATGCAGCCTTGTGGGGAACCTGTAGAGGACACGGGAAAGCAGTGTCTATGGTGGGGAAGCCCAGGAGGCCTGAGGCTGCAGCTACATGTTTGTGAATAGCAATTTAACCACTTCCTGCCTTCTTCCCAGGGAATAAGACCTTCAGCATCTTAGTCCCAGGAACTGCCGCCACCCATTGCCTGGAGACAGTGGTCCAGGCCCAGCAGCTACCCATGGAGCCAGATCGGTGCTCCCTATGGGAAGCCTGCCAAATGTTGGCCCTGCACCGGGTCCTGCTGCTCTGGAGGACGCGACTTTACCAGCACCAGCAAGCCGTGTAGGTGACCAGAGCTGATGACACAGGGTCAGCCCCGGTGCAGTGTGGATACATGACCAGTGTCCTTTAGGTCCTGGTCAACATCCCAGCCTTCCCATGGCCTTGGCAGGAGGCTTGATATGATGCATTGTGTCCCCCAGCAGGTATCGGGCCCTGGGAGGTGGCTGTGGGGCACTGAGACAGTGGCCAAGCCGAAAGCTGCTGGGGCCCCTTTCTCCCAGCTGCCTTTACAAGGATAGGCAGTGCCAGGGTTCTGAGCTCAGGCTGACTGGTGGCTGTGGGAAAGGGAGGCTGGGGTCATCAGGGGCCAGCTTCTAGGCTAAACTGTTAGGGAGAATAAGCCAGCCTTTACAGAGCTAAGAATTCCATTTTAGCAGGGCGGTGGTGGTGCACTCTTTTAATGCCAGCGCTCGGGAGGCAGAGGCAGATGGACCTCTGTGAGTTTGAGGCCAGCCTGGTCTACAGAGTGAGCTCTATGGCGATCAGGGCTACAAAGAGAAACCTTGTCTCAAGAAACAAAACAAAAATGGAAGAAAGGAGGGAAGGGAGGGAGGGAGGGAGGGAGGGAGGGAGGAAGGAAGGAAGGAAGGAAGGGAATTCCATCCTAGCAAGCATGGTGGCACATATTTCAGGATGACTACAAACTCTTGACAATCCTCCTGCCTCAGCTTCCTGAGTGGTGGGGTTACAATGGTGAACAACCATGCCTAGCTTGTGTTTATTTCTTTTTTGTTTTGTTTCGCTTTGCTTTGCTTTGTTTTTAGGGGAAAAAGTGTTTGTGGTTTTTGTTTTCTTTTGAACTGAGTTCCCCACTAGAGGGCAGTGGGCTGGGTCATCACTAGAGTGCTTGTTTGTGTTGATGGGGCCGGGCATCAGATCCCCAGGTTCATCCATACTGAGTAAGGGCTCCACCGCTGAGCTATGACATCATCTCTTGAAGCTCTTGAGTGATCCACCAGTTTCAACTGGCCAAGGCCTTCCCACTGGGCCCTCTCACAGCAACCCTGTCCCAGTCGTGGGTGCTGAGAGTCCCGGAGACTCACCTGCCCCTCTCCCTTAGCTCCTTTTTGCAGGGCATGCAGAAGCGGGTTCTGCAGTACCTCCTGAGGCAGTGGCGCTTGAGGGTCTGGGGTCCAGACCCTCCCTCAAGCAGCCTGGAGACCATGTTAGCACTGGAGCTATGGGACAACAGCCTGGGAGGGGAGGCCTGGCCCAGCTGCAGAACATCAGGAGGGTCACTGGAGAAGGTGAGGAGCTGGAGTGGGGTGGAGATGAGGGGACCCAGGACTCACCCCTTATCCCCAGCTTTCCAGGGCCCCCACCCTCCTGGAGGCTTCCTGGTCGGTGTCCTGTGGGCAGCCGGGTGACAGAAGAGAGACTGTGTCCTCTTCCCTGGCAGGTGCGGGTCCAGCAGACTCAGGGAGCAGTGAGGTGGTACAGGCGTACCCTCCAGAGGCGGTAGGAACCCCTCCCCTGGAAGGGAGAGCCCTGTTGGCCACTGTGCAGTGATGTCATTGCTTCCTGACTGACTGCTCCCCCCCCCCCACTCCCTACCCCCCATCCCGCCTTGGCCTTCCCAGCAGCAGCCTGTGTAGTCTGCATCTCAGGAGGGGTCCCTGCCCGCATCCCAGTCAGCTTGGTCCCCAGAATCAGGGCCATTTCACTTTTCCTGTCCTTCTGTCCTTCTGCCCTATCCCGCTGTGAGAGCGGGAGCTGGAACTAGACACTGTCTTATAGTTCTCTCCAGATGCTCTCACAGGGCAGGGCTCGAGAAGGGACTGCCTATGTCCTAACACTTGCTTTGTGCCTCTGGCTGTGTGATTTGGGGCAAGTTACTTCTCTGTGTCTCTGCTTCCCTATCTGTAAAATGACTCCAATGGCTGAGCCCTGGACTTGGCACTGGAGGTTGAGGATCCTTTTCTAGCCCTGGCACCTGTCATCGTGTCCTTTGGAAGGGCCCCAGACCCCTCTAATCCCCAGCAACCCATCCTCTCTTTGATTAGAGCTTGGAAAAGAACCGCCCGGGATATACCTGATGCTGAGGGGTGGATGGAGGTGGGAAGAGGGTGAGGCTAGCCCAACAGCTGTGCTCAATGTGAACACTCCCCTTCCTTCCCAGTATCCTAGTATCCTCAGCTGGAGCCACTGGACCGCAGATCAAGGGCCCGGGAGAGAGCTAGCTGCTCACTGGGCTCAGAACCTCAGGCCTGTGATGGGCAAGTGTGGGGCTATCCTGGAAGAGGAAAAGGCCAGTGTCCCTTAGTGACACTCAGAATTCCAGAGCCATCTCAGAGCCCAGGGGTCTGGGTACCAGACCTCATTACAGATGGTTGTGAGCCACCATGTGGTTGCTGGGAATTGAACTCAGGTCCTCTGGAAGAGCAGTCAGTGCTCTTAACCACTGAGCCATCTCTCCAGTCCCTATAAAGATGTGTTTGTTTGTTTATTATGTATACAGTGTTCTGCCTGCGTGTATGCCTGCAGGCCAGAAGAGGGCGCCAGACCCCATTACAGATAGTTGTGAGCCACCATGTAGTTGCTGTGCTGTGTAGATCTTAAGTCACCTAAGTACTCTGAGTGTCTGTTCCGCTATCTGTAAAACAGGGATAGTACTGTACATGCTACAGGGGTGACTGGGATCCCATGAGGTAGTTCATGGCAAACTCCAGGCCAGAACAGCACCCCCTCTTCGTCCCTGTCACCTTTGCTTTGCCTGGCCTCCAGGAGTTGCGCTCTGAGATCAGGAAGACAGAGTCCTGGTGCTCTCAGGGCCATGATGCTAGTTAGGCGGAAGGAACCGGCTTGCTGCAAGCAGCCTGGGAGAGGGGCCTGTCTGGGAAAGGAAAGGGGATGGCTGGCTTCCCAGGATTCTGGCTCAGCATAAAGGAGGACCTTTCTCTTTGTATTGAGTTTGACCCCAGCCAAGTTATAGTCACATCTCCAGGAGGCCCCCACCCCTTGCTGAGCAACAAATAGCCCCAACACTTGAACATTTTGTGTAACCAATTAACTTCAGTTCTGGGCATAGAATCCAAGGTCTTGGCATGCTGGGCTAAGGCTCCATCCAGCCCGCCCCTGAGCCGCGCTCAGAGTCACACTCGCAGCCCCTACATACGGTTTTGCTTTAATTAATGAACTAGTTAATTGGTTGTGCATGTGCCACAGCTCTTGTGTGGACGTCCAATTTTCTCCATCATGCATGTGATTCCAGAGGATTTAACTCAGGTTGTCAGGGTCGGCAGCAAATGCCCTCACCCACTGAGACAATTTGTTGGTCAATTGAGTTAGATCCCCAGCCCTTGGTTTTTCCAGCCCAAGCTAGCCCAGGCTAGCCCCAGAGATCCCCCTGCTTCAGCGCTGAGATAACAGACATGTCTGCAGCTGTCGCTTTGAATAAACACAACACACAAACGAGAGCTGACCTGTGCCCCGCTCCTGCCCCCTTGCAGCTATTTCCAGGCCTGGTGTGAACGCATGAGGGACGTAGAAGCGTCCCCGGGCCAGCATCAAGGACAAGCCTTCCAGGACGACCTGAGAAGAGGCCTGGGGGCCACACTTGCTAGCTCACAGGAGGCCTGCAGAGCGGGGCCCCTGGCACAGGATCGGTGCGTGGCCCAGGCCTCTGTCCTAGGCTGGAGAAGCTTTCCTCAGCAGCGTGGAACTGACAGAGAGCTGAGGAGGGCCCAGGCCCAGCAGCCTTTTGTGGTGTGGAGAGTCACCCTGGGGCAGTGCTGTGAGGTCCCACAACAGGGAGGAAGGAGAGTTCAAGTCCTGACCGCAGTCCAGGTGGCCCTGTGCTGGGTCCTGTGGGTACACAAGTCCTACCTAGGCCACATCCACCAAGCTCAGGCTGCACAGCAACTGACAACCAGGTTAGTGCCCAAGGCCCTAGGGCAGCCTCACACTGTTGCTTCCAGGTCAGGTTTTGTTTGGTAAGGGTGGGGCATAGTGGGTAGCTGAGTGGTGCTTGCTGAGTGTCTGGGTGGCAAGAGGGCAGAGGCATCTTGATCTTTGGCATGGGTCCCAATTGTGTCACTTTCTAGTATGGCCCATCCTTGGAAAATCTTCTGACATTAACCACCTTGCCTTGCAGCCCTGCCAAGTGTGTCCATGTGCTCAAGACAGCAAATGGGCAATGCACTGCAGGGGAGGGGAGCAGAACATAAGGTGTCAGTTAGGACTGTCCTCCCTGTCCTTTAAACAAGATGCTTTATAAGGTGTCAGTTAGGACTGTCCTCCTGTCCTTTAAACAAGATGCTTGCCCCTGATGTGTGTGACAGTCTACCTACTTCTTTTTTTGTTTTGTTTTGTTTTTTCGAGACAGGGTTTCTCTGTGGTTTTGGAGCCTGTCCTGGAACTAGCTCTTGTAGACCAGGCTGGTCTCGAACTCACAGAGATCCGCCTGCCTCTGCCTCCCGAGTGCTGGGATTAAAGGCGTGCGCCACTACCGCCCGGCCAAGTCTACCTACTTCTAATACCGTACATGCGAATTTCATGGATTATCCAGAATAGAGGTGCCCAGACCTGGGCATTTGCCTTTTTCAGAGCCCTAGAACTCTGGTTCTAATGGGCACCTCCTTCTTCTCCAGGGTCCTAGAGGTCTGGATGCAGCTAGCAGTCTGGGGTCACGCCCAGCACACTGATGTCACCCACTGCTGGCAGAGGCTTCTGTGTCTTCTTAGGACATACTGGGTTCAGTGGCGATCAACTCACTGGAGACAGAGCCAGGCACAGGGCATGAAATTCAGCAGAGGGCATCTCCTGCAACTGATGGACACCCCAAACTTTCTGATACAGGTGAGGTGGGCCCAGGTGTGTGTACACTGTGTGGGGAGTCACTTCTCCAGTCTTAAAATCAGCTGGCTTCTGCCCATGATGGGATTGTGATTCCAGGGACAAACAGACTTACAGACACCACTGACCCAGCTCTGAGTGGCTGACAACAGGGTGGAGGCAGGGCCCATCAGTAAACCTCCTAGTGACTGCCCTGTGCAAATCTGGTTACAAGAGGTCTTTGTCTATTAAGGAAACAGACACTGTTTTTTTTTTTTTTTTTTTTAACTGTTTGTGGCTGGGCATAGTGGTATATGACTTCAATCCCAGCATCAGGACAGCAGAGGCAGACAGATCTCTGAGTTGGAAACCAGCCAGGAATGCAGAATAAAACTCTGTATCTCAAAAAGACAAATGAAAAACCAAACAAAATGGTGTTTGTGGGTCAGCGGGGTGGCTAGGCAAGTAAAGGTGCTTGCCATGCCAGTCCAGTGGCTTGATTTGACCCTCAGACCTGATGTTAAGGTGGAAGGAGATAATAACCCCATGAGTTGCCTTCTGGCCTCCATCATGTGCACCGAGGCACTGCTGCCCCCTCCCACTCAGCACACACATCACCAGGCCTTAAATGCAGTTACAGCTGGAGAGATGGTTCCATGGTAGAGAGCACTAGCTGCTCCTCCAGAGGACCTGAGTTCGGTTCCCAGCACCCACATCAGGAACTTACAACCCTGTGAAGCTCCACTCCAGCAGGGCAACTGATGACTCAGTCCCTGCTCTGGTTTGCACTGGCACGCACACACACACACACACGCACACACGCACACACACACACACACACACGCACACACACACACACACGCACACACACACACACGCACACGCGTACACACACACACACACGTCTTTAAAAAGATGGATATATGAAGAGAGTGGCAATCTGACTTTATTGGAAGAAATGAAATGTACCCATGTATCCATTACAGAAAATACAGGAGAAAGTAGGGTTTTGTTTGTTTTAGTCCTTAGCTTTGACAGGATAATGAGAGACTGTGGACTAGCAGGAGTGAAGAGGGCATCGCAAGTGCCAGGGGCAAGCAACAGCATTGCCCAGTAGACTGGAGATGTAGCTGAGAGATCCAGGCCACCATCCTGACAGGCCAGACAGTGTTCCTAATGACAACTTGGCATCACCAAGAGTCCTGCTTCAGATTGTTAGAAAGAAGGGAATTGACTTTAGAGTCTAAGGAAATCACTAAAGTGACTTTTGCCTCCTAAACAGAATTGCAATAGTGATGCGGGGTTTCAGAACTCCCAGCTATGGGCCTAAGGCAACAGCAGATCACGGGGTCTCACGCTTCGTTCCTTCTAGATGTTACAGGGCTTTGTAGACCCAGCTTGTATAGTCCGGGCTGCTTCAACTCAGCCTCTTGAGTTGGAATTTCCGGGGGACACTGCCACCCTTTAAAATTATACATACTTTTTTCTCTTCTTGCTGGGTGGTGGTGGTGCATGACTTTAATACCAGCGCTCAGGAGGCAGAGGGAAGGGGGATAGCTATGAGTTTCAGGACAGTCCCACAGAGAAACCTTCTCTCAAAAAACTAAACCAAACCAAACCTTCATTCTCCCTTACACTGTCCTCTCCCACACTGGGGCATCTAGAAACAAAGCAGACACTGAGAATGGCAGCCAAGGTCTTGCTCTTTATTGTCGTCCGCCCCCCCCCTCCCACGGCCAGGTCGCCCTTGTCTGGCACAGTGTGCAGGTGGTGCGCCATCCTGCGGTGGCAGGCCATATCTCAGAGGCATAACTTAGCTCTCAGGGGTGGCCTGAGCTCTACCACAGGACAGCTGCAGCTACTACTGGACCAGCCTCAGCTTAGATGTCTTCAGCAGATGGGAGACTGGCCAGAGGTGGCAGTGCCATCTAAGTACTAGCAGCTTGCCTCCTCTGGTGGGTCTTGGGACTCCCAGGTGACAGGTGAGACACCCCGCTATACACACAAGTGGGAGTCTGTTCTGGCAGGGGTCAGGCAGGAATCCCTCCTGATCAGCAGGCTCAAGGCATCTGATCCTTGCTCCCCCACTGTTCCTCAGACCCACAGCCGCTGGACACCTGTTAGACCAAGTGTGCTGCCCAGCCTGGCATGGCAGCCTGGTAGAGGCACACAGAAGACCACATCCTGTGCTCATAGTAAGAAGCTGAGTCCCGGGGTCTCAGTCCTCCCCGGTTCACAGCTGTTGGGTGATTCTCTTCTGCCCCCTTAGTTCCCTGGGCCATCCTCCAACCTGGGTACCTGAGGGTGGCCACTGCTCCCCCAAACCAAGGCTTATCCTCTCGATGCAATTCTCCTCTCCAGGTGACACAGAGCGGCCTCTCTGCCTAGCCTTCCAGTTCTGGCTGCCACTGCCTGCACGGGCACAGCCCCCTACAGGACCAGGCAAACGCTGCAGCTCTGAGACCAGGGCCCTCCAGGGCCAAGGCGAGGCTCCTCAAAGGTGGTTAGGGCAGGAGCAACTGTGCATGTGACATCATGGAGGAGGGGTGGAACTGGGTGACCCCAGCAGGATGACCCCCGGGACTTGCTTTTCACCTTGTAGAGGTTGTGTTGTCCTTGGCCTGCAGGAACAGGCACCGACAGTGTCAGTGGATCCAGGCTTCGCAGCGGGCCAGGTGCCTGGCAAGGGCATGGCAGCTCTGGGTAGATGTTTACTGGGCGGAGCAGCTGTCTCGGACCCTGGTAGGTGGGCTTAGTTCCTCTCCATCCTGCAGAGGCCCTGGGAGCAGCTTCTCTCATTCATCTCATCCCTTGGCCAACTCTAGACAAACCTGTATCTCGCTGTGGTCTTGGACTAAAGTCAGGAGTCCTTGTCTGCTAACACTGTCAGAGGACGGCCCCTTTGACGCTTCCCTTTCTCCCTGGGGCGGCAGAAGTACAAGGGCTACGGCTGCCAGGACGGCAAAGAGTCTTTTCTGTCAACTCTCTCTGTAGCTCAGACAGTGGCACCTGGACCAGGCCTGGAGGACATGGCGGAAAAGGGTCCTTCAGCTGCAGGTGGCTCAGCGGTTACTCCAGCAGGAAGAGAGCTGGGTCCTTTCCCAGGTGGCTCTACCTCACCTCGCCTAGCCAGTCTTCCAAACAGTGTCACCTTTGGGCTGAGCCAGGGAGAGGGAAGGGGCTGTCCCTGCTCAGCACCCCGAGTTTCCTCATTCAGTAAGCCGATCAATGGTTACAAAGCACAATGGTTATCAGAGCCCTTGACTGGTGGCCGTAAGCCTAGCCCAGTGTCAGTCACTCAACCTGAGACCAGGCTGTTGGTGGCACTGGCTACCCATGCAGGCCTGGGTCATTTGCAGGTCACTGGGCACAGCTTCCCAGGCCACAAGTGCAGTCTATCCAGAGCCTGTATGTTTGGGCTGAGATACCTGGCAGTGAGGGCAGAAGAAAAAGCCTCTGGTTGAGATACAAAGAACATGGCTCAGGTGTCAGTCTGACAAGCCCAGTCAGGCCCTGGAGGGAGCCGAGACACATGTCCTTTCTTGTCTATCCCTGCTTCCAGGCCTTTGGAAAGTGGTATCGGCGCCTGGTAGCCAAGAGCCCACGAGAAGAACCAGACATAGCAGGTGTGGAGCAGAGCAGGGCCCAGCAGCAGCTGTGCTGTGAGCTACGCCACCCGAGAAACAAACAGAATTGGGCCAGGCCCACAGCTGGAGGCTCAGCTCCCAGAGCTCTGGGGGCACAATAAAAGAACATCCCTTCTTCCAGGCTGCTTTCCACTGTTGTCATCTAGGTCTAGGGGACAAAGGGAGAGGGAATCCCCTGCTCTATCTAAGTTGCTCTATGGACAGCTTCCTCCCCATCCCTGACTCAAACAGGACCAGCAGGCCGGGAGCCAGGCCTCAGGGGCAGCCATTTGTACCTGCCAGTCACTATCCCAGGCAGCGAGGCCTGAGGGCTGACTGGAGAGGAGGGCCAGGGACAGCTTCTAGGCTAGGCCGAACAGAGAAGACGGCAGCTGGCAGGAATGCCCACTCAGAAGGAACATAGCTGGGCCTTGCTCAATGAATCGCATCTCATCTCATGGGCTTGAGCAGAGAGCACGAGCCTCCTAAATGGGGCATTTCAGATCCAATCAGAGCCTGGCTGCTTCCAGCCAGTCTAGCTGTTGCTGTCATGTGTGGAAAGATGAGGGGGCTCCAGGAGGCTTATGGCGCCTGTGCGTCTCTCTCTGTGGCATGGCTGTTGAGCAGCTCAAATGTGTCTTCCACCACCTGCCACAGGCAGTTGTCCAGCAGGAACTCGTTATCCACCAGGTTGACCAGGAAATAATTGTCATGGATGTACTGGATGATCATGCGGGACGGGGACTCCTCCTCATACAGTTTGCCCCACTGCTCAATCCACAGGGCAAAGGCCTCATCCTACATGAGGACACAGACACATGTGTGCAGGGTCAACAGGGCTACCACACCCAGGTCCTGGCTCCCGCTGTCCCCCTGAGGGCCACCCAGGGAAGAGCAAGGCAGTACCGCTCCAGGTGGCCCAGAAATAAGTGCTAACTTGCGGCCTCCCAGGCCAAGTTTATAGGTCCTAGGGTGCGTGTTTCAGACTACTGTCCGCCCAGAGCTCTCAAGGTAGCCAGGGTACACACCCACACACCCTCCCACCCACTCACCTTCCAGAACATGAAGCTAATGGGATCCACCACAGTAGGCTGGATGATCTCTCGACCAGGGAAGATGCCCCACGTAACGGCATTGGGCTGCAGCTCGGGGGCATTAGTGATGTTCTTCCCCTGGGAACAGAGGCAGGGTGATTGCAGCCCTACTGCTGGCGACCTCACCCAGCCTGTACTGCCCTCCTGGGTCTGCCCTCTACTTAAACCAGAGACTTAGAGGCATCCTGGGCTACTCTCCTTTCCCTGATCCCCTCCTGTGCTTATAATCCAGGCTGGCCTTGAACTCAAGATCCTCCAATGATTAGCTTCCCAGATGCTGGGGTTACAGACGTGTTCTGCCACAGCTGGCTTTGCTGCTGCTTCTCACCCAGGCCTACAACAGCAGTCCTGCTTTCTTCCTGGGCCACAAGGGCCTCTGACAATGTTCCCTGGTCCTTGCCACCCTCATAGTTGCCTGCTGTGATCTTTGTAAAAAGAAACGGAGGCAAGGCACTCTGCCACTGGGGAAAAGGCTCCCTTGTTTTTGGGTAGCGCTCCTGGTCCTGGTGCAACACTGCCATGTCCTACTTGCACTTTCTCCAAGGCAGTGCAGCCAGAGCCTTGCCTTCTGCCCTTTCCCCAGCATGCCCTTTGCCCTTTGTTTATTCTTTGTCCTTAAAAAGATTCAGGCAAGGGTCTGGGGACGTGGCTCAATGAGGAAGAGCACTTGTTGCACAAGCTTAGCTCCGGTATCATGTGAGCAGCCGGGCATGGCTCTGTGTGTGCCTGCATGGGGTAGAGAGAGGACTGCAGAGGCCCATGCTGTCAACACAGCTCTAGCTTCAGTGAGAGATGCTGTTTAAAGGGATTAAAGCAGATAGTGATAGAGGAGGACATGGGACATCTTCCTTTGGCCCCCAGGTGAGTGTATGTGCACACAGACTCAGCTCACATAGGATCCCTTCTAGAAAAACCCTGGACCTCTCAGGTGTGACAACCCTCCTCAGGATCCTGTAGCATCCCATGTTGAACCTGCCTTTCCTGCCTACACGGACTTGTTATTGCATATATTCATCTACCTCCCAGCCTGGGAGCTCTTTCAGGAGGCCTGCCTCCATCTGGTCCCCTTGTACAGTAAGCCTGGCCTGAGCATCTGGGGACTGTCAGGATAAACATATGGGTCTTCTCAAGCCCTGCTGCCATCTAAACTGGGCGCTGGCTTACCTGCACATCCACGATGTGGTAGTTGACCCGGAGCTCGTACTTCTTCAGCACCTGCAGAAGGGCCTCCATGGTCTCAGGGGAGGTGAAGAACTCTAAGTAGGCCTGAGGGAGAAGACACCCATCACGTCAAGCCAGGCTCCTTGCCAGCTTCTCTTCCTTCTTTCCTCACCCTGCTCCAGGCAACCTCTGCATCTGACTAGCTCTGCCTACTGCATCAGCCAGATGCTATCCTCCTCCAAGTGTAGGACCCCATTCATACGAGTGTAGGTCACTGAGGCTCTGGGATTAGAGGTGTCACTGTGGACCAGGATGAACTGTGGAGTCTGGGTGAGCGCATAAGGAAAGAGGCTTCTCTGTCTGGAGTGGTCCCAAGGTACCAGCTGTTGGATAATGGTGTGAGGAGCTGAAGAGAGCCACTCTGACAAGCTTGGGCTCAGGGAGGAGGCTGGCACAGGCTAGCCTCCCCATCTATTGGGTGACAATGCCACCAAAGGGCTGGGCAAGGCACTTCTGTCTGCAGATGCCTCTTTCCCTTCATTTTCTAGAATATTCAGAATACTGTAAGGTGGGTACTTTTGCCCAGAGAAGGAAGCCAGGTTTGGGGCTGCATCAAGGGAGACAGCAGAGCTGCCATCTAAACCCAGGTCTTCTGAGTCCAAGGCTCAGGCCATGCTGCGGAGTGTCACTTAGGCCTGGCAGGCCTGGGATTAAAGTGTTGATCTTGTTAGCAGCCAGAGCTCTGAGAGCTGTTTCCTTGTTCTTCCTCCAGGGAGAACACTTCATATGCTTTATTATATTTTGTCCCCAAAACATAAAATGCCCCCTCCTCCATTTTACACAGCGAACTGGTAAACCCAGGTGATCTGCTACTTGTTGCAGGGCCCAGGAGGGAAAGGCCAGGGCTCTATTGCTGTTTCTGGGGCGCCCTAAGCACTGGTCAGGACGAGTAGCATACCTTCTGGAAGACATAGCCCCCACTGGGGCCCCAGCCCACAACAGGGTCCGAGGACGGCTTCCCATTAATGTTGGGCTGAGAGTTGATGGTGAGGATGCCCAGCCTGTTGACCCGTAGCAGCTCCTCCTTCATCAGACTGGTTTCCGCTGCCAGGGGGTCATCGTTCCAGGGCAGGCAGGTTACCTGCAGGGCAAGGTAAGCCGAGCTAGGGCACCCGTGGGTCTGGGTTTTCTCGCCCCTGCAGTCACGGTGGAGACCCAGTCTGTCTCGCCTCCATGGGCTCCTCAGTGGGACTTCTTACCCCTTCCCTCCGCTGAGGTGCACACCCATAGGCGAGGAAACAGCCCAAAGCTGACAAGATTGGGGTGGGGACCCCAGTTACCCCGTCCCACCCCACTTACTATATAGCCATGTTGGTTTGGCTCTCCTGAGAGGTAATGTTCAAAGACTTCGAAAACGCTTTTCTCGCTGGTGAGCTCCTCACCCCACATCTTCAGCAGCTCCTCCCTGGGGGACTTGCTCTTCAGGTAGAAGAGGTAGTAGTCCTTCAGCTCCCCAAAGGCTGGCGAGGAGGAATTACCCCTGGCAAGAGTGTTGGGGTCAGGGCGCTCTCCTGTGAGCCCCACCCCCAACACCCTCCAGGCACCAGTGGTTTTTAGCAAGGAGTGGCTGTTGCCCTCACCAGCGGCCATTGGGAAACTCGTCCCAGTCCTGTGTACGGTAGATATAGCTTTTTGGTCTGGAGGCCCAGAAGATAGGGCGCACATATTCCTCCCGCCGCTTGGGATTTGCACTGACAGCCCAGGGCAGGGGACGTCTGGAGAGAAGGAAGGGGTAAAAGCCCAGAGATTAAGTGGAGTGAGCTAGACGAAGTCACCAAGCCTGGTCACTCAGCCTCACTGAGCCTCCACTACACGTGGAAGCCCTCTGAGGTGGAGGGTGGAACCCAGTGACCTCCTTGCCACTGTAGGGTTACTTTGCACCATTGCTGCTCGGCCTCCCCTGGAATATTCCTCCAGATTCCACTTCTCACCTGGGATCCTCAGTCCACATGCCCAGTTGCTTTAGCACTTCCGTGGTAGCCACCTCACGATTGAGGGTATAGAAGTGGAGGCCCGGCACCAAGCCACTGTCCAGCAGCTCCCGGCACAAGTTCACAGCCAGCTCAATGCCATAGTTGCGGATGGCAGCATCGTTATCTTTGATTGGCTCAATTACATCCTTGATCTTCTGTGGTACTTCCAGCTTGGACAGTTTTACAAGCTGCCGAAGGGAGGTGTAGCCCTGTCCAAGACACAAGAGGTGTGGGGCCATCTCTAGCCTGTCTTCCAGCTTATTCCCTTTCTAGTCTCTGGCGAATTAGTTTCACGCAGAGACCTGGGGAAGCCAGGTGGTAATCCGGAGCGATGCTTGGCCTGCCCTGCTTTCTCCCTCCTTTGTAGACTCTGGGAGCTGCCTTCAGCATTCTTGCCATCAGCCAGCCCCTGGGCCCAACAGTGGTCACCTAATTCAGCTATTCCCAAAGCTCACTGACCAGTCACCTGCCAAACTTTAAGGTTTAAATTACAGATCCCATCTCCAGAATGCTGGGATTACAAGTGTATACCATCAGGGTCAGCTTAACCAAAATTTCTGATGAGAGTTATAATTACTTTCAAGGACATCTGTCAGCAGGCCAAAGCATAAGCCCTTTATACACCCCATTGTGTCTTAGGGGTGACAACTGACGTGACCAAATGCAGCATGTGGACAACACCTAGTGGGCATCGAGCGCGACTGAGGAAGGACTTCACTTGACCTGGAGCCCTGAGCCCCGGCCAGGACAGTGCCCTGGAGTGGGGGAACCAGGCCCTCCTGAGCCTCTCACCTGTATAGGGAAGATCCCGGGCAGGATGGGGCAGGAGATGCCTATTTCTGTGCAGGCCTTCACAAAACTGAAGAAGGTGTCGGCCTCAAAGAAGAGCTGGGTGATGATGAAGTCAGCACCTGCAGACACTTTCTCCTTCAAGTGCTTCAGGTCATCCTCAAAGCTCTTGGCCTCGGGGTGGCCTTTGGGGTAACCTACCAGTAGAGAGGAGACTGACCTCAGCCTACCTGCTCGAGGAGTGAAGACACCAGAGTGTCTGGGGCCTGGCACAGTCCTCAGCCCAGGCTTTGCATGCATGCCCCCCAGTAGCAGTGTGGGCAGCTGAATTGTGGTTGCCCAAGCCACGGCTGTGCCACAGAGCCTGTAGATGAGCCTCCAGGAGAGGGGCGGACTGTTCCAAATGTGACACTCTCCTGCCTCACTCAGGCAAATTAGGCCCGCACTTTGTAGCCACAGACCGAATGCCACATTCAATAGTAACACTAACTGAACTGTTTCTAGGGAGCCAGGGAGCCAGACTTTTAACTCACTGGAGCATTGGACAGAAGGCGTTGGTTCATGTTTTATTTTGTTTTGGCTTGGGTATTGAACCCAACATCTTATGCATGTTAGACAGCATTCAACTACTGAGCTTCATCTCTAGTTCCTCTGAGTAACAGAGATGGGGGTGAACGGGGGTTTGTTTCTTTGAGACAGGGTCTCTCTATGTAGCTATGTAGCTTTAACTGGCTTGGAACTCTGCAGATCAAGCTGATCCTGAATTCAAAGAGACTGACTGCCTCTGCACCCAGTCCTAACATTTTTTTTAATTAAAAAAAAAAGTATGAAGTTAGGCAATGGCACACCTTTAATCCCAGCACTTGGGAGGCAGAGGCAGGCGAATCTCTGTGAGTTTGAGGCAAGCCTGGTCTACAAAGTGAGTTCCAGGACAGACTCCAAAGCTACAGAGAAGCCCTGTCTCAAAATCAAAAATCAAAAAAATTAAAAAAGTATACATGGCACTAAAATCCCTCTGAGTCAGGATATTGAAAAGCTAAGAATTCTATTGTGGGAGCTGGTGAGATGGTCCTGTAGTTAAATTAGAAGCACTGGCTGCCCTTTTAGAGGACCCTTTTCTAGCCTCTGTAGGCACCAGGCATGCACACAGTGCACAGACATACATGCAGGAAGGGCAAACATACATATAAAATAATTTAAAAACTCACATTATATAAATAAGAATTTAAGAAAGTGACATTTTGCTTCAAGAAATGGACAGAGGGACTAGAGAGATGGCACAGCAGTTAAGAGTGCTTACTACTTTTGAAGAGGACCTGGGTTTTTCCCCCAGCACCTCTATCATGGCTCAAAACCTTTTGACCTCTATGGACACTGTGCACACATGGTGCACGTACACATAACATTAAACACCATATTAAACAAATATATTTAAAAAACAAACAAAGGACAGACTATAATAACTACTTTCCAGTGTCCAAAGATCACAGAAAGAATTCACTTGGTTGCATGTCCTGCTTGCCATCCTCTTCTGAAGGCAGAATACACATCAGTTTCAATCCCACAAAAAGCTTCCTGTAGGGCTGGCAAGACTGCTCAGTGAGTAGAGGCACTTTCAAGCAAGCTTGATGACCTGAGTTCAATCCCCAGATCTCACAATGTAGGAGAGAACAAGTCCCTAAGAGTTGTCCTTTAGCCAGGCGGTAGTGGTGTACACCTTTGGTCCCAGCACTCAGGAGGATGGATCTCTGTGAGTTTGAGACTAGGTTGGTCTATGGAATGAGTTCCAGGACAGCCAAGGTTACATAGAGAAACTCTGTCTCAAAAAATCAAAACAAAAAAGAAAAAAGAAAAAAAGAAAGAAATCCTGAGCCGGGCGATGGTGGCGCACTCCTTTAATCCCAGCTCTCGGGAGGCAGAGGCAGGCGGATCTCTGTGAGTTCGAGACCAGCCTGGTCTATCTACAGAGCTAGTTCCAGGACAGGCTCCAAAGCCACAGAGAAGCCCTGTCTCGAAAACAACAACAACAAAAAAAACAAACAAACAAAAAAAAAAAGAAATCCTGTCTTTGAAAAAAACAAAAATCAATAAACAAAGAAATAAATAGTTATAAATAAAAAAGACAAAAAGGACCCAAGAGTTGTCCTTTGTGTATGTCATGTTACATGCCTGTGTATGTTTGCATAGACATATAAACACTCACAAAATAAAGAGGCAAAATATTTTTTTCTCCTACAGTCTGATTACACTGGAGTGTGGGGGATAGGACAATGGGATGACCATGAGCTGAGCATGCAGAAAATGGGGTTCCCAAATTGCACAGAGGTTCTCTAAGCCCACTGGTGGCTTTGTGAACTCTATGATCCCTCCTTTCAATGACCAAACTCACTAGCAGCCTAGCACAGACAGAAAGGCAGGAAGGCGCAGCCTGGAGGCAACCTCAGAGACTGAGAGCCCCCTCTGCCTGAGCTCCACCAGGAGCAGAGCTACTTAGAGAGCTAGCCTGAACTGGAGCTGTCTGGAAGCCAAGCTGCTTTACTGTGATAAGGACATTTGGTTCTTAGGAAACCAGCCACCAAGGACAGATACAAAAACTATTGTTTCAAGACAGAAAAACCAGGAGATCAGGCAGCAGAACTTCAGCTTTGAATAAGCTCTCTCTCCAGTGGGAAACCCCGAACCACACAGCTGAGCAGTCTGAGCATTGCCGGGGAAATCCATACTTCAAGAAAATTGTCCCGCATGACTTGGGGCTTTGCTCACTTTGCTATGTTCTTTTCCTTCCATGACCAGCTTGGTAGTTTTAAAGTGTTTTGTTTGTTTACTTTTACTTTTGTGTGTAAGTGTGCCATGTGTGAAGGTGCCAGTGGAGACCAGGGCAGGGCACCAGATCCCCTGGAGCTGGAGTTAATGGGTGTCTGTGAATCCCAGGGTATGGGCGCTGGGACAGAACTCTGGTTCTCTACTGGAGCAGCAAGCATCAGCTCCTGAACTTTAGCTCCAAGTCTGCTCCCTCTTCACCCACCAGTTCCACCACTCTAAAACAGGCAAAGCACAGGACCACGTGACAGCTCCCCACCACCTCACACCCACAGCTAGTGCACGTCTACGCAGCCCCCAGGTAGCTGCATCCAGGCCAGTAGGGACAGTGGCAATCAGAACAGCTGGCAGTGCCTGCTCCCCCGAATTCTTGAGCAGTGTTTCCCAATCTTAGCCAGCTATGCAGCCTGCTGAGAGGAGCACAATCAGACACTGTTGCAGGGGGGCTGGAGAGAGCCCCAAGTCATGCAGGACAATTTTCTTGAAGCTGCAAACCTTATTTTTAAATTATATTAAGGGCCCATGAGATGGCTCAGTCGGTGAAAGTCTTGCTGTCAAGTCTGACCACTTGAGTTTAAATCCCAGAACCGACACGATGGCAAGAGAACTGACTTCTGAGAGCTGGCCTCTTACCTTCCTAGTGTGTACACTCACACACACAGAGTAAATAAAATAAATTTTACTGCTTGGTATATTACTCTACAATGTAAGCACTCATCTGCTTATTTTCTTGGTGCTGGAAGAGAACCAGGAAACTTACACACACAAGGCAAGCTCTCCACCAGACTACAGCTCCAGCTCTGGGTTTCTAAGACAAGTTCAGGCTGGCCTTGAACTCCTGTCCTGTCCTCCTCCTCTATCCACTTCCCCATCCCTTAGTGAAGGACCAGAGCTGAGCCAGTGTGAGCCTCACTTCCTATGAACGCAGAGCTAACACTGAGAACAGTCAGGGCTGGGGGCGTCTGGAGCTGACACTGTACACACAGAAGCAGGACTCATACATAGGGCAGTGTGTCCATGAGGGCGGCTCCCACAGCAGATGCACAGTGAAAAGTCAGCCCCTGGACCCTGGTACAGAGGGAATGAAGAAGGGCCTCAGTTCCTGACTCCTTTCAGGGCCTAATGAATCCCCTAGCCCCGGAGTACACACACACACACACACACACACACACACACACACACACACACTCTACCAGTGAGAAGGTGGGGCATGAAAGGCAGAGGAGAGGTAGGAGGGGAAGTGTCAGGAGTGGGAACGGTGTGCCTGGCAGCGGGTGGCAGGATGCACACAAGAACAGTACCATTCGGTTCTCCTCTGTACTCCCCCATCTGCATCTACCCGATCCCCATGTCCTGAACAGAATTCTGGCTGGCTTTCCGCTTATCTTGTCCCATCTCTGACCCCACTCACCTGCCACGCAGATGTCAAAGTAGTCGCCAAACTCGCTCCGGATGTGCTTCACCAGGTCTGTGGCGCAGTTGAAGCCGCCTTCCTCTGCTTCCCAGTGGTCACCTACGGGGTCTGTAGGGTTGCTGGAGGTCACGGTCACTGGGTGTCCCCTGACCTCCAGAGTCTTCTGGTTCCCTTCACCTACCCCTACACTTGGCTGTGGATTCCTCAAAAACAGAGACTCTCTATTGTGCAAGTCTAGCCCGACACCTGGCAAGCAGGAGGTGGAGGGTGGTGGTCAATTGTCTACTAAGGCTGACTCTGCAGGTGGCCCTGTGGGTGATGGGATCAGGGGAGGTGTGGCTCTCCACTGAGCCTGGAGTGTCAGGGGCTCTGGCCTGGCCCTGATGCCAGCTGTGCTCAGGTCCCTTCTCCCATCCCTTTGCTCTCTCAGAGCTCCTGAATTCTGGTGGGTTTTCTACTCATGGAGTCTTGTGGTGAGGAGAGGCCACAGACCCCTCCATCCATCAGGCTCCCACTTCCCACAGCTGAGCCACCTGAAGACAGGATGCACCCAGGTGCTCCTGGGAAATGCCAGCACAGCATGCTATGGCCAGACCAGACAGGGCAGAGTCTGATGGCACTGTGTAGTGGGTGCAGAGGGTTATCAGGCACCAGCCACATCCTGACTGAACTAGATCCAGGTCAAGAGGTGGAAGCCCATGGTGGACTCATTACCCACAATGCTCACTGATCCTCCTGCAGCAGCAGACCCCGAATGTGTTTACAGTGTACACTTTTCCCAGGGGAAATAAGAACTTTTCTGGGGACAGGAGAAGCCTTCAGGAAAGGAAGAACCCAGAAAGGAGGGGTCCTGGCGCCACACCTCCCCTCAGTGCCATTATGTTCTTCAGGCCGAGCTCCTTGGCTCGACGCAGATGGCCTGTGATCTCCTCCTGGCTCTGCTGGCAGCAGGTCACGTGCAGGATGGTCTCCAAGCCACAGTAGTTGACTGCTGTGCTGGCGATCATCATGGAGGAGGTCTCTTTGTCTGAGCCAGGGTCTCCAGCGGGGTGCCAGGTAACATCTAGGAAGAGGGGGCCCCCTGCTGCCATCCGGTCAAACCTGTAGGGGATTTCTTTCTTAAGTTTGGGTTCCTGGGGGAACAGCAGGCTCACTCACCCTCCCTGGGGTGAGGGGTTGTGGGGGAAGAGCTGGAGCAGCACAGACCGCAAGCTGTTCTCAGAGCCCTGTGTCTACTTCCCAGGCACATCACCTAATAATAATCGCCCTGAGCCACAGTGACTTCGTTTAGAAGATGTGGCAGATAACAGTACCCTCTCCACGTCTGCGAAGGTACTGGGTCAGACGGCTGTGCAGCACTCAGAGAAGAGCCTGAGCTCAGTGAGTGGCGGGGAACAACGTGTGAACTTTATGCTTCTCAGAGTGCGAGCACACTCACTGGTTTTGGGTGAGTTTAGGGTCTTGAAAGTTGAGAGTTTGGGATTCTGGCAGGGCATTGGCAGGCATAGGGCCTCACTTAAGAAAAGGCAGAGAGAGAGAGATCAGCAGATGCAGTTTTCTCCTGTATTGCAGAGCAAGGCTGGGTTCCTGAACTAGATTCAAAAGAAGGCTTCTTAGACGGGCAGTGGCCTTTAATCCTAGTACTCGGGAGGCAGAGGCAGATGGATCTCTGTGAGTTCGAGGCCAGCCTGGTTTACAGAGCGAGGTCCAGGACAGCTAGAGCTGGTGCACAGAAAACCCTGCTTATGTTGTGTTAGGGATCAAACTTAGGGTTTCCTGCAAGCTACACACTCATTCCATCAACTTAGCTACATCCTCCCTACCCACCCCCAGTGAAGACAAGGTATCATTATGTAACCCTGGCTGGTCTGCACTCACCGTCATCCTCCTGCCTCTGAGCACCGCTATGCCTGTCTTTCCTTTCTCTTTGTGACGCTGGGGACAAAGCACAGGGGCCTAGCAAAGCACTCTCCGACTTGAAGAAAGGAACTGAAATTCAAAGAGTGCCACCACGAAGCGTGCCTTTCCTGATTTGGAAACACACGCCCTGTGTCCAGCTAGCTCAGCACAATCCCTGCTGTTGCTGTTTGTTGACTTCCTAAGCTCCTTGTGAGCCAGCCCCACGTTCTGCCAAAGAATGTGGCCTGGGAATGAACATTTTTGGCCTGCTCAGGAGTGTGTCCAAACATATCTAATGCTGCCTCAGAGGGACTTTTGCAGACAAGAAGTTGTAAGTTAAAACTCCCTGTCTCGCCTCTGCTTCTTCCTGCCTCCCCTCTCCAGTGCCTTTTCCTGCCGGGTTAAAGGGCAGCTCATGTTCCCCTCCACTGACCCCCAATACTTAACCTCCCTCCCTACTCACCTTGAGATGAGGTTAACAGCTCCCTCAGCAGTCCGAGGAGGGAAGAACTCCAGGGAGAACCACTTGTCACCGGAGTCCATCCTGCGCCTCATCTTCTCGCGGAGTCTCTCGTGCCGCTCTGGGTCCAGGCTGGGCGTGGAACATCTCGAGCTGTCCTTGGAGCTCTCGCTGCCACTGCTGCTGCCCTCGTTCACCATGGCTGGGTTCCTGCTGTACAGGGTGGGGGCCGGAGGCATCAGGGGGCTGGCCGCCAAACCCCATGTACACCCAACTCCTGAGTAGGCAGCTCCAGTGGAGAACGCTGCTCAACACAGGAAGGCAGCCGACAAGGGCGAAGCTCACACGGCTCCTACCCAGAGGCTCCATGCACTCTGCCCCCCTGCTGTCGTCTGGCTTCTCTGTGAGATGACCTCCCACTAGGCACTGAGCCGCTCTTGGATCCTCCAGCTCAGGAATCCTTGGTGACAGCTACCTGATAGAGGGTGGCACAGAAAGCCTCACACGGCCAGCCTCTGAGGCCCACATTCCTAGAGATGGGTAACAGTGGCCAGCAGGGAGGACCCTGGCTTCGCGATGGTTCATCTCAGTCAGCCTAGACTCGAGTGAGTGGGGAAGGAACAGGGAACCTTTCCTGGAGGGTGTGCGCAAATGGGCGGAGCTGCGACAAAGAGCCCTGAGCTAAAGCTGGGGCCAAGCAAAGGGGCGGGAGTAAGGTTTCTAGAGCGGAGAGAAGGCTCAGGCGCCAGTCAAAGAAGCCGCTGAAGGATGGGGGGAGGGGAGAATGTAGGCAGGCTGGGACTGCAGGGGTTGGTGGAGATTAGGCCACTAGCCACTCCGGGTCACTGGGTTTCCCCCTCCAAAGAAAGAACAGATCACAGCCGCTGGCCCCGCCTGGAACACAGTCGAGGCTGTGAGCAGCATGGCCAGGCAGCCTGATTTCCCGAGTTCATGCTACTCCACAAAACAAGGTTGTGCTGTGAGCTAGAACTTGACCGAAATCACTAAGGCTAGGGATTTGTGTCCAGCTCTGAACAAAGGCTGTCCCGTATGTTCCTGAGGTCAAAGGAATCAGTGACCACAGTGCCGCCGCATACGCGGTCCTGGTCACCGCAGTCGCAGCCTGGCTGACAGGGCAGGGAGCCACATTGCAGTCTGGTCAGGAAATGACAGACGTCTGAAGACAAAACAAACACGACCGCTGCACAGGAGTGGGCAAACACGGTAGTGGAGATCTGTGCCGCAGCGACGCGGAGCAACAGAGGAACAGCCAAGTCAGGCTCGTTCCTTTCCAGAAACTTCCACCTCTAAGTCAGTGTACCATTTTGGGTCTTAGCCTCAAGAATTGGAAAAAAAATTTCACGTTTCCTTCCTCTCTTAAGGCACAGAAGACGGGTCAAGGAGCCAGTTCTAAAAGCTCTGCCCTGGCTTAGTGCCAGTGCTATGCCCTGTGTGTTTAGGCCAGCTTTGTTCTCACCTAAAACCGCCAGGTTCTCATGGAGAGTGAGGAAGAAGAAGGTAACCTTACATGTCAGCCACGACCTTTCTCCTCATTCTCAAGGCCGAAACAAACCCTATGGAGCTGACTCCCGCAGCAAACTTCTCCAAGATTTAAGTTTTTGTTTTGGGGGACAGCTTTGGAGCCTGTCCTGGAACTGGCTCTTGTAGACCAGGCTGGCCTTGAACTCAGAGATCTGCCTGCCTCTGCCTGATTTAAGCATTTCTAATTCGTGCCATATTTCAACTAACAGCCACCAACTACCCTTTAGTTGACCTCCCACAAGGTTGAGACTGTGGCCTAACAAGTTTGTTTAGCCTTCTGCTCTGCTGTTGGCCCCTTGCCTGAGACCAGGACCAGAGAGATCCAGTGCCCGGTAGAGTAGTGACAGCCAGTACTCACTGAGTCCTAATGGCCAGGGCCTCCACACTGGCCTCAAGATGCCCCTCTGCCACCTACTAATCACTGACTTAACAGCCCTACCACTCCCAAAACTGTTGCAATGGACATACGTGCACTGGAGGACACTGTGGGCACCTGGGTGACAAAGCCAGTGGTTCACCACTCCTCTCCAGATCCTGCCAGGGAGGCAGGTTTAAAAAAAAACAACTGGCAGCCAGCAAGGTGGTGGTGGCACACACCTTTAATCCCAGCATCAGGGAGGCAGGGGCAGGCGAATCTCTGTGTGAGTTCAAGGCCAGCCTGATCTACAGGTTTGTTCCACAACAGGCTCCAAAGCAATACAGAGAAACCCTGTCTTGAAAAATCAAAAAAGAAAAAAAAAAAAAAAAAAAAAAAGAAACTGGCAGCCAAGCGTGGGAGCGCACACACTAAACCCCAGCTCTCAGGAAGGAGAGGCAAGCACTGAGTTCTAGACCAGTCTGGTCTACAGAGAGTTCCAGGACAGTCAGGGCTGCACAGAGAAACCCAGTCTCGAAAAACAAAACAATGATAGACAGACACTACAGAGCTAGAATACAGACAGACACTATGGCTGGCAACCAACCACCTTGATGCTGGGTGGCCTGAGAGGACGGGAATCGGGTCACCTGGTCAGTGGGTCACAGGCCTGGACGGGGATGCGAGTCCCAGACGGCTCCTGAGGCCGGATCACTGCCTCAGATCCAGGACTCCTTTAACCTTGGGATACTTTCGTGCGGTAGGGAGGCTGGGATGACAGCCTCTAGAGGTGCCTTAGGTTGCAGGAGCGACCGGAACCTTCAAGAGCAGAGCGCAGGACGGGCCAGCCCCCAACTGCCGGCCCACAAGGAGGCGAAGTGACACATTTCTCCAATCGGCGAATTCCTCCGCGGCGTCCCAAGCCTCTGAGCCTCTCACCGTCCTGTCAGAACCTCGGCGGTCGCGGCGCCATCTCCCTAGCACAGGAGGAGGAGGCGGAGCGCAGCTGCCGGTTGCCAAGGGAAACAGGACAAGAGGTAGGCGGAAGTTCAAAGAGAGCGACAGGAAGTCCCGCCCCAACATGGCCGCGCCCGGCGGTCTCTTGGGAAGCCGGCTTAGTACTGCGTCATGTGACGCGAGCTCTCGCCCCACCCGTCTACAGCCACTCCCTGTCTCCCGTCCCTAAACTCGAGAGGGCCACGTGACCCTCCCGGGGCCAGTCACGTGAGGCGCAGATCCTGGGTGGGAGGGGGGTTGGCCTAGGGGGTCCAGAGTGGCAGGAGAGGAGGAAGATGGCGGGGTGCAGGGGGTCTGTGTGCTGCTGCTGCAGGTGGTGCTGCTGCTGCGGTGAACGCGAGAGCCGCACCCCCGAGGAGCTGGTGAGCGGCGGCGGAGCTGGGGAGGGGGCAGTCGCTACGGGATGACAAGAGGCGTTGCCGGGGGTGGGGCCGAGCCGAACCGCGCCGGCAGGTGGCTGCGGGTGGGGCCCTAGGGACCGCTGCCTTGGCTCTGCGAGCATCCGCCTTGCTTCGCGTGCTGAGTCCGAGTTCTTTTCTCATCCCCTCTTTCTGGAGCCAGAGCGGGGGATCTCGGCCAGCTTGGGTTAATGCCGTCCGTGTTTTTCTTTTATTTGCATCGGAAAGGAGGTTTGAATGAAGCAAGCATTTTGAGAATGAGGCCTTTTGCAGGGCTTGATGCTTGTGTAGCTGGTTTAGTTTCTCCAGGCATTTCTTATTCTGTCCTCCACTCTTTCTGGGTCACTGATGATCCCGGCTTTCCCCTGCAAAGCAACCTGGGAAAACTTGAGTTGTGTTCTCAGAGTTGACACGTTCCCGCTGCTTTCATGTTCCGTGTGCTGTCTAATGAAACCCGAATTTTGTTCTCACTAAGCTGCCATCAGACATCTTTCAGATGTCCTGAAGGTGAGCGCTGTGATTGGGAGAATGTGTCAATCAGTAGACATGTGGAGCTCAGCTAGTGACTAAATACCATCCCAAATGTGTTTCTGAAATTTTGTTCCTCTTTGATGATGGCTCCCGCTGACTTAGATGTTAGTAAGACTCCCCTCCTTCCACCCGTAACCAGTCAAAGGTCTCCATTCTGTGTATCTGTTTTTCTAGACCATCCTTGGGGAGACACAGGAAGAGGAGGATGAGATCCTTCCGAGGAAAGACTATGAGGTGAGGTATTCGGATGCTGTCTTGGGTGATTGAAGTAGTGAGAGGCCTGGCCCCTTCAGACCTCCAGCCAGAGATGCTCTTTGACCTTCTGTCCTCAGGTGTGAGTGGGGCAGAGATAACTGACCTGGGAATGCCACCTAGCAAGTCCATTCCCTCCTTAACCCCCACACAAGGTCTGGTGTTAATGCCTGGATACAGAGCGTGTTTGCCGTTAAACTTTTACCCCAGGGTTGAAGCTCTTTACTGTGAGTGCTCGTGACAGAGGCGGGTTTGCGAGCTGTTAGGAGGCCTTGCCTCTCTTCATTCTGGCCTTTTGTTTTGTTTTTTAACACTGGGTTTCCCTGTGTAGCATTGACTGTCCCTGGAACTCGCTCTGTAGCCCAGGCTGACTTTGAACTCACAGAGATCCACCTGCCTCCTCCTCCCAAAGTGCTGGGCTTAAAGGTTGCGCTACCACTGCCTGGCTCATTCCAACTTTTTTAATTTTTGGTTTTTCAAGACAGAGTTTCTCAGCACAACCGCCCTTGCTGTCCTGGAACTCACTCCGTAGACCAGCCTGGCCTCAAACTCATAGAGATCTGCCTGCCTCTGCCTCCCAAATGTTGGGATTAAAGGTGTGTGTGCCACCACCTCTGGACTCTGACCTGTTCTTGATTATAGTTTCTAGTTTCAGGTATGGGACTTTTAAGAGCGTGGGGCCAGTGTTGTGGTGCCTCTTTAGTCCAGCACTGGGCTTGAGAGTCTGAGGGGGGAAAAATCCCTCTGGGAACCCACAAAGGCTGCTTCATCAACCCTGTCCTTACCAAGACTGTCACTCCTATCTGTAGCTCACTTGCCTTAGGCTGATAGCCTCCTCATGTGAATTTTATAGGTAAATGTTTTTTCCGGCAAATCTTTAATATTTCCCAATTGACCATCTTCACATATCAGCTGTGGAGAGCATTGTGTATGCCAGAGCAAATCCGTTCTGATACTTAATCAGGAAAGTCTGCTCAGCGAAGGCTCGACTAGAAAACCCTTCTGTTGAAATGTTGCCTATGGTGGAATATTTCTGTAAACCAAAAAAAAAAAAAAAAAGACAGAAACCCAAAACTCTTGTTAAAAAAAATGTGTGTGCGTATAAAAAAAATTTTTTTTTTAATTTGAGGCAAAGTTTCATGTTGCCCAGGCTGGCCTCAAACTTTTTATTCATAGCCACAAACAGCAAGACAAGATGTACAAAGCTTATTGGAAAAAAGTTGCAAGGGAACAAAAGAAGATAATGGGAGGTTGAATATCATTAAAATATATTATGTAAATGAATGAAAATAATTAAAACAAAATACTGATGATTTCAACTGTGGAGCTGAGGGAGATGGGGGAGTTGTTCATTCCCCAAATCAAAAAACAATATATATAGCAGAAATAAAAGGTTAGTCCCAGCAGAGCAGACCAGCCTCTGCTGGACATGGTCATAGATTCCCCAGTACCTTATACCAGCTGAGGTTCCCTGGGGTTGCCCTTGCTTCTAATTCCCCTTGGCAGCTTGACTGAGGTATTCAGGCACAGGTCGTGCAGTTCATCCAGTAAAGTAGACCATTCCAGCTGGGCATGGTGGCGTACGCTTGTAATCCCAGAGACAGAGGCAGGTGGATCCAACTTGGTCTACAGAATGAGTTCCAGGACAGCCAAGGCTTTTATACAAAAAAAAAAACCCTGTCTCAAAAAGCAAACAACAATAAAACGTAGCTCGTTCCATGTGGTTCTTAGTGTATCTACAGAAGTATACAACGGTCACTCATCAATTTTAGAACACTGTCTTCATCCCGGAAGGAAATCTGTACTCATTAACAATCACTGAACATCATTCCTCTTCCCCTGACGGAGCAGCTGCTATGTTTATTTGGGGGTGGGGAATGACATTTCCTTGTTTTCTTTTAAATTTTAAAATTTATTATTAGGGGCTGGAGAGATGGCTCAGCAGTTTAGAGCACTTTTCCAGCGGTCTTGGGTTCCATTCCCAGCACCCACATGGCTGCTCATAACGGACTATAGCTCCAGTTCCAGGGGGATCTGATGTTCCCTTCTGGACTCTGTGGGGAATTGGCATGCATGTGTGGTGCGCATATATGCATGCGGGCAAAGCGTTCACACATATAAAATATAAAATCTAATGCTGTTTCCGAGAGGTACTGTGTTTGAGGGTCAGATGGAGGTCGGAGAACAGCTTTGGGGAGTCAGTTCTTCACACATTACTCACTGAGCCATCTAGTCAGCTTTTTGTTTGTTTGTTTGACTGGTTTTTCTTTGTGTAACAGCCCTGGCTGTCCTGGAACTCACTCTGTAGACCAGGCTGGCCTCACATTCACAGGCATTTGCCTCAGCCTCCTGAGTGCTGGGGTTGAAGGCAAAGGCTTGTGCCACCACCAGCTGGCCAGGTTTTACTTATTTATTTATTTTTAGACAGGGTCACTCTTTGCAGTCCTAGATGGCCTTCATCCCAGCAATCTATTAGTATTAGCACCACACCTAGCTTAAGTAACCATTAATCTTTCTGCCTCAGTAGATTTGCTTCTTCTAGAGAACTGAAATTTGTGGTGCCCTGGTATGGGACAAAGACCATTCCCTTTCCTCCCTGAAGGGAAATAAACTGGTCACGGCTGGATTAGAAGGAGCTAGGCACAGCTGAAAAGTAGATAAGATAGCCTTCTCCTCAGGGAAGAGGGAGGATGGATAGGCACCTTCAGAAGAGAGTATTTGATTTTAGTTTTTTTAATTGACATTTAAAATAGAGGCATCCCTGTTGGCTTGCACATGGATATCAGGTGAGACAAGACAGATGACTGAGTTTGAAGAACAGACAAACTTTGTCTGGGACAAAGTTGGGGCTATCTACTAGGTCTTCATCCTGCCTTGTGACTAAGGCTCTGTCATCTTCCCCTGTTGACAGTTCTGGAGAGGGATTCCCAGCATTTGACTGCCTGTGGTGCATCCTGCCCTTGGTAGACAGAGGCTTCAGAGAAAGCGCTTCCTCTTACTCTCACCCAACCCTGTCTTGACACCAGATACACGAGTCTTAAACACAACACACCAAGGAGTTCTCCAGCAGACAGTGACTGACTGGAGGTAGCAACAGTTGCCACAGGTTGAGGAGTCCCCACGACTGCCTCCCTTCAGATGTCCTTTGGAAGTGGTAGGATTCTCAGCACTTGGGAGGCAGAGCCAGGTGGATCTCTGTGAGTTTGAGGCCAGCTTGGTCTACAGAGTGAGTTTCAGAATAGCCAGAGTTACATCTTATCTCAAAAAACAAAGAAAAAGAGAGAGAGAGAGACAGATTGTCCCTCTGCCCCAATCTGGTATTTTGGTAGAGCCACTCATAGAACTCAGGGATATGTGGTTTTGATCAACTTGTTTATTAACAAGGGATATAATAAAAGGTATAGACATACAGGCAGGTAGAGGGTATGGTATGCAGGTGAGGTGTGAGGAGCTTTCATCCTCTCTCCTGGGGAGCCACCCTTCGAGCATGACATAAGTTGACTGGTGGCATCCTTGGTGAGCAGCTTAGTCTTCAGCTCTTCTCCCAGAGGTCAGCAGTTAGAAATGAAACTTTCTCTCCCCTCCTTCTCTTTTCTCTTTGAGATACAGTGTCACAGAGCCTAGGAATATATCTCAAAGGGAGAATACTTTCCTAACATGAGCAAAGTCCTGGGTTTGATCCCAGTACAACAAAAGGAGGAGGAAGGATAAGGAGAAAAATAGGAAGCTAAGCAAGACTAGGTCTTGCCTTGTAGCCCAGGCTGGCCTTAAACTGTTCTGAGTGCTGTATTGCAGGTATGTACCTGTATGAAAGTTGAACTTTAGCCAGGTGGTGGTGGCGCACGCCTTTAATCCCAGCACTTGGGAGGCAGAGGCAGGTGGATCTCTGGGAGTTCGAGGCCAGCCTGGTCTACAAGAGCTAGTTCCGGGACGGGCACCAATGCTACAGAGAAACCCTGTCTCGAAAAAAAAAAAAAAAAAAAGAAAAGAAAGAAAGTTGAACTTTGTAATCATGTCTCAGTCTCTGTGGTGACCAGCCACATCCTGGTTCTCTTTAGGGGCACAGCTCTTAGCTCAGTCATTGCAGTAGCATCCAGAAGGCACTCCTCACATACTGGAGATCCAAGGTCTGAAGACCACTTTCGCATTTCACTGTAGCATGAAAAGAGACCGATAGGTTACAACATCTTAATTTTCCTGTTTGTTCCTAGAAAGTAGTTACTCTAATAGACTTTCTTAGTGTGTGTGTGTAGTTTGAATGTAACTGACCCCCATAAGCTCATAGGGAATGGCACTATCGGGAGGTGTGACTTTGTTGGAGTAGGTCTGGCCTTGTTGGAGGAAGTGTGTCACTGTGAAGGTAGGCTTTGAGGTCTCCTATGCTCAAGCCATGCTAAGTGTCTCAGACTACTTCCTGTTGCCTCTGAGATGTAGGACTCTAACGTGCTTCTCCAGCACTATGTCTGCCTGCATGCCACCATGTCCCAGCATGTTGATAACGGACTGAACCTCTGAACTATAAGTGAGCCACCCCAATTAAATGTTTTCCTTTATAAGAGTTGTAGTCATGGTGTCTCTTCACAGCAAGAGAAGCCCTAAGACAGTTTGTATGTGTTTTTGTAAATCTGTATATACATTTAGTCTCTCCTGAATGAATCCACTTTCCTTGCAGATTTTCTTCTTGTGTTGTTCTTGTTTTTTAATCAGAAAAGGATTACTTTATAAAGATTTTTTAATGTGTGTGGGTAGGCACACACAAATGCAGGTGCCTGCTGAGTCCAGAATAGAGTGTCAAGTCCCCTAGAACTGGAGTTTCTAGCAGTAGTGAGCCACTAAACTGATGCAGAGAACTAAACTGGAGTCTTCTGGAAGAGCAGCCAGTGCACTGAACTGCTGAAGCATCTCTCAATCCCAGTGATCTTTTTTGATATAGAACCCAATCAGCCTAGTATTTACAAGATAGAATGATTGAGTGGCCATACATAAAGTCCTGGACTCCATCCCAGCACTGTCAAACCAGGCATGATGGCGCACACCTGTCATCTCGGCCCTTGGCAGAAAGAGGCAGGAGCAGCAGAAGTTCAAGGTCATCCTTGGCCATCCTGAGCTACATGAGATCCTGTCTTAAGAAAAAAAACACACACCAAAAGAGGATTTCTGTACCCAGATGTGAATGTTCAAAACCCTCTATTGAGATGTTTTCTCATTCCGTATGCCTAATTCTGTTAAATCAAAATACGGTTATGTCATACATTTTAGATTTGTTTTCATGATGCTGAATAACCAACTCTTTATGTACCTCCCTAGGCTACATCCCTGGCCCTTGATTATACATTTTATTCTGCATGTTGCTTTTTTGTTCGGTCTTTTTGAGAGGGTCTCACTATGTAGCCCAAACTAGACTAGAACTCACAATGTAAACCAGGCTGGCTTTGAACTCAGAGGCCTGTCTCTATCTCTCAAGTGTTGGGATTAAATACATGTGCCACCACACCCGTTTTTTTCTTGCGTTAAAGAAAAATTTTTAATTATATATATAGTGCTTAGTGCTGGAGAGTTGGCTCGGTGGTTGTTCTTACAGAAGGCATGAGTTCTGTTCTCAGCACCCTCATGATGGTTCACAACCATTTGAAACTCTAGTTCCAGGGGATCCAACACTTCTGACATCTAAGGACACCAGGCCTGTGCATGGGTACAACACACATACATATACATACATGTGTGTATATCTATGTATATTTATATGCACAGGCAAAATACTCCTATACATAAAGTAAATCTAAAAATTTTTTTACATAAAAAATAAAAGTTATGTGTATATGTATAGATTTGTGTACGTAAGAGTAGTGTCTGCTGGGGGTGTTGTGAGCTGCTGGTGTAGATGTTGGGAGTTGACCTCAGGCCTCAAGAGCAGCCAGTGCTCCTAACTGCTGAGCCATCTCTCCAGCCTCTACACCTTCCCCTTAATGAGTCTGAACGTTTTCCATATCTGGTGATAATGACTTTGTTTGAATGGTTTGATTGCTACCAATCTTGAGATGTACGATAATTGATTTACTAGTTATCTGTGGTTACTCTATAACTTATAAAAAAGGAGTTTGGGTGTGTGTGTGGCAGGTGGCGCTTGCTTTTAATCCCAGCACTTGGGAGGCAGAGGTAGGCAGATCTCTGTGAGTTCAAGGCCAGTCTGGTCTATAGAGGGAATTCCAGAACAAGCTCCAAAGCTACAGAGAAACCCTGTCTCGGAAAAACAAAACAAAACAAAAAACCAAAGGAATTTGGACTTGCTCCCAGCAGTCACGGATGGATTAAATTATTACACATCACTCCTGTATTTGCCTGACCTAGAACTCGTGCCTGGGAGAAAGGCCCCAGGCCAACGTCCACTTGCTTATTAGCTGATGTGGCCGTGGAGGTGGTTGAGGGCCGGGGAGAGCACAGCTGGGCTTTTTCTTTGTTGACAGACCGCCGCTTCTCTTGTGGTACCTAGGAATGAAGTCATCCTTCCCTCTGGATGTCGCTCAGGCTGTCCTTAGCGCAGGTGCTCATCGTCTGAGATGTCTGGTCTCTGGAGCATGGCTGAAGGACTGCTGCCTTAGGTGTAGAAATTGGAGGAGCTGGGCTGAAGCTGGGTCTCTTCTGACATAACTGACAGGTTGCTTTAAAGATAGCCCGTCTGGGTCTGCCTTGTGGCTAGCCTTGTTTTCATGGAAGCCACCTATAAAGAGAATTAGAATTAGTTTGTCTGGGTTAACTTGGTTCTGGTTAATTGAAAGTTTGTTCACACTTAAGGAATAAGTTGGACAAGCCTGGTGATAGCTGAATATCTTTAACTGTTTTGTAGAAACAGGAAAGTCTGCCTTTTTTTCCCCCAGAGCGGGGATGGCACACGGCCTCATGTACCCTACCCTACCACTGGGCATGACCTCCCAGGCCCTAGAGCTGTGCCACTGCAAGCTTTCTCCGGAGCGTGAGGCACTCTCCAGAAGCAGTGTGCTGGGTCTCGCTGTACACGTGCCTCACCTGGGGATCCCATTCACGCGGAGATCCCGCCGCCTGCCACAGGGGCAGAGCCTGCGTTTCCACTGAGCCCTCCCTGGCACTGCAGATGCTGCAGGAGGAAAGCGGAGCGTTTCTAATGTTAGATTATGTCGCTTCTTCATGTGTGCTATTATCATTCTGTAATTTCAGAGTCTGGACTATGACCGCTGCATCAATGACCCTTACCTGGAGGTGTTGGAGACCATGGATAATAAGGTGAGCCCACAACTCTTGGTCTCTTAGGGCTGAGAGGTCTTTACAGCTTCTTTTCTGTCCTCCTGGGACCCAGTAAGTGTCCTTTCTCTTTCTCCTTTAAGTCTTCTTGTGAAAGAGGGGCATTTAAATGCCTAGACCCTGCTGCTGAGATGTCTCAGCAGGAAAAGGCTCCTGCTGCCAGGCCTGACAACCTGCATTTGATCTCCAGGACCCAGATGGTCACAAACACAGTGGTGGCACTTGTGTGTCCCACCCATATATCCAAAATACCTAGACTTCCTCTTGCCATCCAGTGTTCCTCCAGTCAGTATATGCAGCCCTGTGGGATTCATCAGTGTCACTGTGAGGCACCTGAGGCTGTCCTTCCTCACCAAGCTTGCTGTCTCTGTAGATTTAGTCTAGAGTTGGTTAGCCAAGATGCATCCTTTTCCTGTCACTAATGGACCCGTTCTTTTCCCTTGTGAACAGAAAGCGCGAAGATATGAGGCAGTGAAATGGATGGTGGTGTTTGCCATTGGCGTCTGCACTGGGCTGGTGAGCAGTGGGATGTGGGGAGATGGCAAGCTGGGCGGGTTGGGGGATCAGAGGGAAAGCCTTGTCTGGTGAATACCCTTGCCATCTGTCACTGTGACATTTGTAGCACTGGGACAATTGTCACCCTGGTGGACTGCCTTTCCTTTTTCCTTGTTCTTTTGAAGATTAATTTTCCTTCTGGTTTTTCACATTACTTTTTGCCTTTGGGCTACAAAAGTGAATCACAGGCACCGGGCTATCAAAGCACTCAAGGCTTGCTTGGTCAGAGCTTATTGTCGATGATATGGTTATAGAGCACGACCCGGCCTGGCTAAGTGAGGCGGTGGCAGGTAGCACATAGCAGATAGAGCCCAGTGATGTTGAGGTCGCACTGTCCTGCTCACAATTGTGCTGGCCATGGTAGGTGAAGGGGTATGGCAGGATGAACAGGGCTCCTGGATTCCCCAGGTTTACAGATGGATCACAGACAGGAAAGCTGGGCATATCACCAAGATAATGGTAGCAGTTACATCTGGGGCCGTGACTATGGACTTAAAACATCACTAAAACCAAAGAAGAGAAGCTGGAAAAGTCAACATCCAATGGGAAGACACATGCCAAGTCTGTCAAGAAAATGGCAGAGAGGGGCTCAGCCTTGTTACTGCCTTTCTCAGGTCTTGGCCACAAGTTTTGGGCTTAACTCTCCATGACACACCAGGGTAATGGATACATGTTTCATGTCGCACAGTCCTAAGGGACAGTCAGCTTCCATTCACGTGGTACCCATGATATTTTTACTGTTGTGAACTCACAAGGACCGTCTAGTGGCAGCAACAGTCGGGAGGCCTGTTTGCTAATATTCTAAGGGTATCATGGGGGATGGAATTGGGTTGGTTTAATTGTTTTATATAATATCAGTGTGCACGGTGGGGGTGGGGACTTGAACGAAAGCACCTGTCCTGTGTATTTCTAGTTGTGGCATCATTTGCATGCAGATGTTAGTTTTTCCTGTGACTGTCCTAGGCTTTTGACTGCCTCATCAATATCCTTATCCCCATAGGTGCTAAGAAGGCAGCCTCTCTATTCTGTAGCCACTGCAGCCCTAGCTCTTCCCTCGCCCTTTGATCTGTCTCCACTTTCTCCTTCTAGGCATTAGCTGGAGGGAGGACAGAGTTTAAGCAAGGAGCCTTTGATTCCCACTCTCCCAAGTTAGAAGGTTCCTGGGCCTCCCTTAAACTGTGTAGTGGAACAGTAGTGTATAGGTTTTCAGGTAGCCAGTGACTGATACTGATTCTCAGTCAAAATAATGACTTAGAAAAATAAGAATACCAAGCCACCTATGCCCAAGTAAATGTTCTTTAAGTAGCATTCAAAGCGATATGCTTGTCCAGCTAGGCACCACTGAAGACATTGTGGCTATTTTTTTTGAATCCTCCCAACATTGCTGAGTGGCTGGCTCCCCGCGTGACTCTTCCCATCCTTTCTGTGCCTTCTTCTTTTACTCTGTTCCTCTTCCTCTTTTCTTTGGAGAGGCAGTGGGGCCAGACTGGGGCAGCTCTGGGACAAGCAGAGAGCTCACCCCTGCTGTTGGTGCGGTGAGCAACCGCTGGGAGTGCAGTGAGGGAAGGTGAGGCTCTTACCCGTACTGTGACTGTCTCTTCCTCTTCACAGGTGGGTCTCTTTGTGGACTTCTCTGTGCGACTCTTCACCCAGCTCAAGTTCGGAGTGGTTCAAACCTGTATCCTTTCCACGGCTCCACTGTTTCAGGCCCATGGCTTCCTGAGACTCACTTTAACAGTGAATGTGGTATTTGAAAGACTGTTAGCTATTCAGCCAAGAGGTTTTTAATTCTCACTAAAGGACAGGAGAACATGGCCTTTTTGAGACATAATTTCATGTCCTGGTTGTCCTGGAACTTGTTATGTAGACCAGGTTGGCCTCAAACTCTTAGATCCACCTGCCTCTGTCTTTGCCATCGCCTCTGTCTTCCAGGTACTGGAGTTAAAGGTGTGCACTACCATGTCCAGCTTAGGAAAGGAAGACTTTAATTAGTGTATTGATGTTCTAGGTGGGTAAGACATAAATGCCCAGAGAAGTCTTTGCTCCCAAGGCCATGTATGCATTCAGTGTTCTAATCAGAATTTCCGAGAATTCTTCACAGGACTCAGCCCTGCTCTTTTTACAGCCCTCTGAAAGAAGCCAAGGTCATTGAGTTAGTTTGAATAACAAGCAGGCCTGCTGGCCCTACTACCAGCAGGACTACAGAGCTCAACAAAACGTCGCTTGTTGGTGTAGGAACACCAGCCAGAGAAGCAGAGTGCAGTCCATGCAGGTTGAAGTGTAGAAACCTAGAGTCAAGGTTAGCAGCAGGGGAAGGCCTGGATGCTCAATACAGGATGCTGGGCCTTGGTAGTCATGTCCACATGGAAGATTGTAGATCCCTGTTCATAAAGCTCAATTCCAGATAGATTGAGGGCAGTGTTGTCTTCTAGTTTAGTTGTGTTTTTGAAATAGGGTCTCTTGTAGCCCAGGCTGGCCTCAAACTCATTGTATGGCAGAGGCTGGCTTGAAACTCCTGATAGACCTGCCTCAGCCTCCCAAATGCTGGGATTACGTTACAGGTCTGCACCACCTGTCCTGGTTTTGGGTTGGAGATGTAAAAGAGCAAAGCAAGAGACTTAATTGATGGCAGGTGTAAGTTCTTAAAAACTTGAGAGGCACAGGTCGGAGACAAAGACCTCATCTTCCTTGATCTTAAAGCTTGACCACATTAAAGTAAATATTCTATTTAACTTAAAGTAAATACTCGATCTATGAATCTAATAAGAAACTCCCAAACAACAAGAAAATGCTGTAGATCAAGGAAAACCCAAGTTCACAGCCTGGGGTGGGTTTTCCCTGCATTAAGAAGCAGAGCTAAGCCTCTTGGTGTGCATTGTAATCTTAGCTACCGGGTAGGCTGAGGCAGGAGCTGTGCAAGTTCAAGGCCAGCCTGGGCTACAAAGCAAATCCCAGGCCAGCGTGGGCAGTATAGACCATGTCTCAAAATGAAAAGCAGAATAGAGGGCTAGGGATTTAACAGTGGGAGAGCTCTTGTGTATAGCATGGACAGAGCCTTCTTTTTTGTTGTTATTTGTTTGTTTTTTCGTTTTTCAAGACAGGGTTTCTCTGTAGCTTTGGCGCCTTGTCCTGGACCTAGCTCTTATAGACCAGGCTGGCCTCGAACTCACAGAGATCCACCTGCCTCTGCCTCGAGTACTGGGATTAAAGGCGCGCGCCACCACCGCCCGGCTTACACACAAGAGAGACAGGCAGACAGTTCCTCTCCACACATCTAGAAGAATGCCTACATCATATCAGAACAAAATCACCCTCCTCCCCAGGAGTGTCCAGAGGAAGCCATGAAAGAGCCAGAAAACTGGCAAGGATCAGGAGCTTTCGCATCCCTTTGTTGTAGCTTTTAAATCCCTTCTCCGATGTGGACTTTAGATTCATTAAAGACAGCTTTCGTGACAGCAGAAGTTTGTGTCACCAGATGAGGGAAGGAGAAATTATGGTTCATTCATACACTGTAATTGTATGCGGAAGTTAAACTAAACAAGCCACAGCTGTGTGTACCAACATGGCTAGTTCCCAGGCAGTGTTGCACTGAGAGACACTCTGTGATGGGACAGTGGAGAGCTGTGGGGACACGAGGCACTCAGCAAGTGGGGCACAGTAGTTTCAGGTTAGCGGCGTCCTGAGTGGGAGGGAGGAAGAGGAAGCTTTGAGGGGTATAGCTTTACTTTTAGTGATAGCCAAAGCCGTAAAGGGTATCATGTTGAGGTTTGTTCAAGTTGGGCTTGGGGGTGGGTTGGTCACTTTTTTAATGTTTGGGGTGGGGAATTCCATAATGTTAAAGTTTTTAATTTATTTTGTGTATGGGGTTGGATGTATACATGGTGCTGTGTATGGCAGTCAGAGGACAACTTGTCATCTCAGGAACATGTATGTCTCGAATCAAACACAGGCTGTCAGGCCCAGCAGCAAGCACCTTTACCCATAGGGCTATTTTACCAGCCCCTAAAATTACTATTCTTAGTTTGTTTTGGGATAGGGTCTTGTTTAACCCTTACTGTCCTGGAATGTGCCTACGTAGACCTTGCTGACCTTGGACTCATGAGACCCGGCCTCTGCTTAGAGTAATGATGCACACTGCTGCACCCAGCTAAAGTGGTTGTTATAGGGGCTGGAAAGATGGCCCAGCACTCAGGGACACTTGCTGCTCTTCCAGAGGACCAGAGTTTCGTGCCCAGTACCCATAACCTCACAACCACCTCACAAGCTCACTATCACCTGTAAGTCCAGCTCCCAGGATCCAACACCTTCTTCTGGCCTCTTTGGGCACCCGCACACAAGTGCATATACACCTATTTTAACACACCCATGCGTGTGCACGCGCACACATATGTAAATGTTTAAAAGTTGTATGTGGGGCACAGGGAGGTATGCACTGAGCAGCTGTCTGGCTGCCCCGCCTCTGTGGGCACGTGTCCGGGAGCCTTTTCCTTGACCCAGCCTCTAGCGGTGGAGGAGTGCAGTCAGAAAGGCTGCCTTGCCCTGTCCCTCCTTGAACTCCTGGGTTTTAACTTGACCTTTGTCTTCCTGGCGAGCCTTCTCGTCCTGATAGAGGTGAGCTGGTTTGGAAATTGACTGTGAGCATTATATGTACTTTTGCTGTTGTTGTTTTGGAGACAGGGTTTCTCTCTGTAGCCCTGCTGTCCTGAAACTCACTCTGTAGACCAGGCTGGCTGGATCTGTGCACTTAATGTTCTTCAGCCACATGCTGGGAAACAGGTTGGCTTGTAGGTTTTTGCAGAAATTTTCTATTGTTCCCCTGGAGGTCTTTCTAGAAGTAAAGCCTCTGGTTCTTGGTGAGTTTAATGAGGAATGCATGGATGGTAAAGTTGCTTTTCATCCTCATCACCCTGAAATCCCCTAGAGAGCAGTTTACTGGTGTGTAGATCAGAATCTGGGGAGGGGAGTGGTTCTGCAGTTTTGTTGAAAGGTCCCACATGGTTAGATCCACATGCAGGAACCTGTTAAAACGCTGAGGCAGGTCAGGCTGCAGTCGAGCGTCTGTGGTTGAACAAGTCCTCAGGAGCGGGTGCTGAGAGGACAACAGTGGGTGTCCCTGCTTAGTTTCCTGGCTTGTTGGGTATAAGCAGCAGAGTGGGTTTTTCATTGGTGTGTGTGCTTCCTTCCCCGACAGCCAGTGGCAGCGGGTTCTGGAATCCCTGAGATCAAGTGCTATCTGAATGGCGTGAAGGTGCCAGGAATCGTCCGGCTCCGGACCCTGCTCTGCAAAGTGTTTGGGGTGCTGTTCAGTGTGGCTGGAGGTGAGGAGAGGCTTTCTACTCTTGCCATCTTGTGCATTGATTAGATGTGGGCTCATGGCTGCTCCTCACCTGGTACCTGTACTTACTGTGTGTGTTAGTTGCTTGTCTCTGTGACCCAGTACATGACAGAAGCAACTCAAAGGCGGAGGGGTTGGTTTTGATCAGTTTCAGAAGGATTTCAGTCCATCATATCTGGAAAGACATGGGCAGTTCATGATAGAGGGAATATGTTGTGGGCATCAGGAAGCAGGAGCCAGGCTGGATTAAGCTTTGAAGGGCCACCTTGAAGTATAACTAGACATTTCTCTCCTGCCTGCCAGTTCCTGAGGCTTCATATTATAAATGCTCGGCTGATGGCTCAGGCTTATTACAAGCTAGCTCTTACATTTAAATTAACCCATTTCTATTAATCTAAGTAATGCCACAAGTCTCTCATGAAGCTATCTCTACTACTTCTTACATCTCTATATGTCCTCAGTCTTCCAAAACCTCAATGGCTAATATTGGTCAGCAAGTAGCTGGCTCCGCCCTCTGATTCAAGGTAAACTTTTGGGCAATCTTAGGAATGTCAGTGTGCAATCAAAATATCTCACAACATTCAAGAACAGAGTGAACTCAGTGCTTGCTTAGGAGACAGAGTGAGTTCAAGGACAGCCTTGGTGAAATAATGAGACCCTATGTAAAAATCAAACTAAACCATGCCTTACAGTGGCACATAACTGTAATCCCAGTACTCCTGGGGCAAAGGTAGCAGACTTGCTTCAAGTTTGAGCCCAGCTGGTTTTACATAGCAGGTTCCAGGCCAACCATGGCTGCATAGGAAGATGTACTTCAAAAACCAGAAGTTAGCAGATAGAGGGCTCTGGTAGAACACTTGCCCAGGATACCAAAGCTGTGGGATTGATTGACAGCACCATCAGTAAATAGTGAGGGAGTTAGCAGGTAGTGTGGGCCTCACCCACAGACTGTGGTTTCCTGGCACTGGAATTTAAAGATAAGAACTATTATCCTTTGTTTGAAGGGAATTTGACTTGGCCCAGGTGTGTGGGACAGAGGTGGAGCTCGGAGTAAACAACAACAACCACAAAATGACAACCTTAGATGTTGGCCTTGAGGAGTTTACCCAGCTTGTTTTTTGAGACAAGATCTCTTCAGTGACCTGGAACTTTCCAGTTAGGCTAAACTAGGCTTGCTGACCAGGGAGCCCTGGGGGTCCTGCCTTCAGTGCCCCAGTGCTGGAGGCCAGATGCATGCACTCTGTTGTTTCTGGGTTTTTCTGTTGGGTTCTTAAGCTTGTACAGGAAGTACTTCACTGACTGAACTGTCTCCTCCCTCGCTCTGCCTTTACCTTAGAGTCAGTCATATGCTTGCCTGTGTTCTCTACTTTCTGAGAGGAAGGTTTACATAGCAAAGTCCAGGCCAGAGGCCCTCTGCTGACTGTGCCCTTCCTTTCTCCCCATTCCCAGGGCTCTTCGTGGGCAAGGAAGGCCCCATGATCCACAGTGGTGCTGTGGTAGGAGCCGGCCTCCCTCAGGTAAGGGTTGGTGGGCCAGGGTATGCATCTCTCAGAATGGGCCTCCTGGGTAAGCCCAGCAGGTGCGATTTCAGAACCTGTTGCCTTTTGGAGTTGAGGTGAAAACTATGTGGCCTGTCCCAGCAAAGCACCTGTTTCTCTTCAAAGTATAGCAATGCCGCACCAGGTCTGGGGACAGAAACAGGAAGGAGAGGAAGAACTGAGTGGGTGACTGGTGGGTTTACACGCTACAAGTGTGTGTGGCTGGAAGAGTGGACTGACACCATCTCAGGCTCACCTTGCTCGTTCTACGCAGTGATGCAACCCCTAGTCTCAGGGCCAGGCAGGTGTCACCTGTGCACTGGGCTGTGGGTCCCAATTCCTTTCTTCCCTATAGTTACATAACTGATTAGTCCCCTAAGTGTAGATGAGGAGGCTGAAGGGCTAGCTCAGGACTCAATATCTCCTTTGAAAAACTAGGTTTCATTCATTGGTTGGTTGAGATAGGGTCTCACTAGGTATTTAGACTGGCTTTGAACTCAAGACCCTCTTGCTCAGCCTCCTACTTGTAGGCCATCACACTTGGTCAAAGCTCATATTTGTAAGGGCTTTTTAGATACCTGGGCTTTTGTCTGAGAAGTCTCAGCCCCTTGAGGACCATTGCTTGTGGACCCTTTTGCTCCCTGCTGTGGGAGAGCTGTGGGGGAAGGACAAAGGCCCTTCACTCCAGGGCCCATCTGTCATCTTGTTTGCTGTCTTGCTCAAGTACCAGGCCTCTCAGAAATGAGCCTGGAAGTGGGAAGAGGCCAAACATGGCTTGGGGGCCTGTGTGAGAATCTAGGTCACCAGTGTCATTACCTGAAAGAGCTAGTGCCATCATGTGCAGCAAGTCTAGGTCCCTCCCAGCCCCCAGCTCTGCTGTCCCCCTTTTCCTGATTTGTGGACAGCGCACAGGGCATATCCTGACGCTCCCACACCCTAGGTGACTTCCTTGTATTGCAGCTTACTGTCCTGGATGCTTCTTGTTGCAGCACTCCTGTACAGTTGTGCAGACAGGCGGGCCTCCCTGGGGACCACACCTGTGCAGTTGTGCAGACACGCGGGCCTCCCTGGGGACCACACCTGTGCAGTTGTGCAGACACGCGAGCCTCCCTGGGGACCATACCTGTGCAGTTGTGCAGACAGGCGGGCCTCCCTGGGGACCACACCTGTGCAGCTGTGCAGACACGCGAGCCTCCCTGGGGACCATACCTGTGCAGTTGTGCAGACAGGCGGGCCTCCCTGGGGACCATACCTGTGCAGTTGTGCAAACCCACGAGCCTCCTTGGGGACCATGAGTTCCAGTGCTCTGCCCTCGTGGCCTCTCTGACTTTGTTTCCCCCATTTCAGTTTCAGAGCATCTCCTTACGGAAGATCCAGCTCAACTTCCCCTACTTTCGCAGTGACAGGTAAGCTCTGGGAGGCGCAGCACACCCTCACGCCATGCTAGCCTGGTTCACTGTGACTCCTGGCTCACTGTGACTCAGAAAAGGAAGAGCTCTGCTTTTCTCCTGAGAATGAGAAACCAAAGGACCATGTTCAGGCAAAGATGATGGCCCAAGACTGAAAACCCAGACCAGGAAGGGCACCCGCCAGATAGACTCCTTAGCCCTGTGGGTCTGTGTGTCGCTGTCCTGTCCTGCTCCCCTCGTAGCATTATGGAACACCTTCATTTTTATATTCCCACAAGGCATGCCTGTTCTCACAGGGCTCTGCCTTTGGTGGAGAAACGTGGTTCAGTAGCATCCATTGGATGTCCTATCCTCTTCCCTGAACCAGGATCCCTGTTCCGTGTTCCTAAAGATGGTCAGGTCAGGGAGCTCCTGGTCTCAGGTGAAGAGGTTAGCCCTGAAAGCATGGGGTGAGTGTTTTGACCTCAAGTCCCTGGGGTGAAAGACTTACTCTCTACTCGGTTTTGAAGGTTTTAGTGTCCTTCATCTTGTGGCTTGGGGTGGTTATGCCCCAATATCCTCTTGGTATATTCCAATTGACCTAACTTCCTCCTACTAGACTCCTGTTTCTCAGACTCTACCACCTTCCAGCAGTGCCTCAGGGTTAAGGCCTTGAACACACTGGAGAGTTTCTCACCTTCAAGCTCAAGCCTGTGGGGTGTGTTTGACTCACAGACAGCTATGACTGCCTGCCCAGGACCTTCTCTTTTGTGATTCTGACACGGACTGTGGGGGACAAGGTTCATGGGTAAAGACATGTTCTGAAGGCTCTTTCTTAAATAAACAGGCACATTCTCTCCCCTCCCCTCCTCTTCTTCATAGAGACAAGCGGGACTTTGTATCAGCGGGGGCAGCTGCTGGAGTTGCTGCAGCTTTTGGGGCCCCTATAGGGGGCACCTTGTTCAGTTTGGAGGAGGGCTCGTCCTTCTGGAATCAGGGGCTCACGTGGAAAGTGGTAAGGAGCCTGTCTGTGGACGCAAGCACTAGTCCAGAGTGTACCTGGACATCACTTTGTTGGAGCTGGCAGGCTGACTCTGTGGACTTCCCTGTCGTAGCAGCCACAGCCTCTAAACAGTGGGCTTTGGTGCTCTTGCTGTGAGCCCACCCCGCCCCAACTGTACACTGCATGCCAGACAGCTGCTATTCTGTCTGTGAACTTCTGCCGTGAGAATATGCAAGTCTCTGTTGGGGAGGGAGGAATGCAGGATTGTGACTTGATCTTGTCACCTGTTGTGGCCTCTTTCCTCTTGGGCGTAGGGCCTGTTCTGTAGGGAGCGCTCAGCATCAGACAGTAGATTGATGCTGGTTCACAGAGATCTCTGCCCTTTGAGGGGAGTGACGGGTTTTAAAGGACTCCCTGGCTGGCAAGATGTCTCAGTGGGTAGAGGCACTTGCTATTGCACCAGGCTGGTGTTGGGACTCCCATGATGGAAGGAGAGGACTGACTGCCACATACGCAGATACGTGTAAGATGACTGTCGAGGAGAGAGGGTGATGTCACCAGTGTTCTCACTTTTTTGTTACCCTTCCTTTAGCTCTTCTGTTCCATGTCTGCCGCCTTCACCCTCAACTTCTTCCGTTCTGGGATTCAGTTTGGAAGCTGGGGCTCTTTCCAGCTGCCTGGGTTGCTGAACTTTGGTGAATTTAAGGTATGGCTTATCCTTCCTCCCAGGATGCTTTACGTGACCCATAAAAATTGCTCTTGAGTAAACATCAGAGGGGTAGGTGGCCCCTGGAACGGCTGTGGTTCCCACAAGTAACTGCTCCCATGAGCAGTGTGCCCGGGCAGCCTGAACCCTCAGCAGGGCAGCGAGGCCTTCTGCTCTTGTTCCTGTCTCTGTTCCTCTCCCTTCCTGTTCTCATGGCCACTCTGGTTTTTCTTTCTCCCTCCCTTCCCCCTTCTCTCAGTGCTCTGACTCTGATAAAAAATGTCACCTCTGGACAGCTATGGATTTGGGTTTCTTCGTCGTGATGGGGGTCATTGGGGGCCTGCTGGGAGCCACATTCAACTGTCTGAACAAGAGGCTTGCAAAGTACCGTATGCGCAACGTGCACCCGAAACCTAAGCTCGTCAGGTACCTACAGTGAGCCCCTTGTGGGCAGGACATCTCTCCCAAGGAAATGGTCCTGTGAACAGTCCCTGCTTCTCACACCCATTTCAGTTTCTCCTCCCAGACTAAGCCTATAAACAGGCTCATAAATATGCCCTATATGCCCTATGAAGGCCAGAGAAGCTGCGGCCAAGTTTACATCTCAGTTACTGGGTGACTTGCCCTCTTCTGACCTGCTGCTAACACATGGTCAGGAGGGTCAGCAAGCCCGCTGTGGACCTGTCTGCCGTGGGTCGCCCTTGCCCTGGACTTAGAGAAGAGAAGCCATTTAGCTCCTTAGAGAGAAGTGATGTGTGTGCAACAGCTCCCTGCTTCTGCTGCCTGCCCTTTATTGCAGCTAACTAGGTGGAGCAAGTCTGGAGTGAATTCTGGATGCGTGTGCCCTCACCAGGGCTGCCAGGCTTGCCCTGTTGGGAGAGGGGTGTTGGGGCGGATAGGGTGGTTGTGCGTGCTCAAGCCTAGACATCTTTTGATTGAATTGTGACAGCTGTGCTCTACTTTCCAGAGTCTTAGAGAGCCTGTTGGTGTCCCTGGTGACCACTGTGGTGGTGTTTGTGGCCTCCATGGTGTTAGGAGAATGCCGACAGTTGTCTTCTGCGAGTCAAACTGGTAATGGCTCGTTTCAGCTACAGGTAACCCCAGCAAACTTGGTGCCTTTATCCTCTATCCAGAAATGTGCATCTCTTTAGAGCCATGCTGTTCCATGCCCGCAGCTGAATGTGCTGTGGTCCTTTAGCTGGGAGGATGTGCACAATTGCCCTGTCTTTTCTACATTGTCAAAAATTCTGGCCACTCTCTAGGGAACCACACTCATGGGAAGCTTGCTCAGTAGCTAACTCTTTACTTCTACAGACCCTTTTCTGCTCATCCCTCTTCAGGCCTGCAGGAACCTGGCCTAGGGCCATGACACCCACCACCTTGCCTCGGTGACACGAGAGTCACTTGTGGGGTGATGCTGACACCTCCCTCCCGGCATCTGGCTCTTGCGTGGCTGCTTTCCTTGGCATCTGTCCCACTCTGTACTTGTCCTTTGCAACCTTCAGGGGGTCATGGGAGTGCACGCTACTTGCGTGTTTTGGTCCACTCTGATGATCCAGGAGGCAGCACGTGGCCTGGTCACCGAGGCGAGAGCTGCTGAACATCTGTGAACTCTCTCTTTGTTTCTCAGCCGCAGCCCAGCGCTCTCGGAGCCCCGGGAGCCTCTCTGGGAAGGCTGCAGTCTGGGAAGCCTGAGGATGTTTTAGATGAGAGGCCCACAATAGGCAAGGGTCTCATCTGGCCCTGGCAGCAGCACCCAGGCAAAGGGTGACCTTTCAGATGCCTGGGACGAAAGGCAGCACACAGGCTTCGTGTGATTGGCAGCTTAGAGGAAGTGGGCTGACATTTTATTTATGAGACCAAGCTTCTCAAAATGTATTTTGTTATAGAATGCTAATAATAAGACAAACAAAAGACGTTCTGTGCTCAAGCGAGATGAACCGAGAAGCGGGTGGCTGCCCTAGAGTGAAGTGTCTTTCTTGACTGGAGGACTCCCGGGGCCCGTGGCGGGTCAGCAAGCGCTAGCGAAGCTCGTGCTCCGTGTCTCGGGTCTCCACGTGTCCTGACAGCACTCTCGCCTTTATTCTTGTTCACTGTGCTGGCTGGTGATAGTATCCCCGTTTTTCAGGTGAGAAAACAGAGGCAAAGTGAGGTCTTGACCAATATCCCTCAGCTGGTAACATACAGCATGAAGGGGAAGGTATTATTTCATTTTATAGATGAGGAAAAGCTAAGTTTCCAAAGTAAAAGACCTCCCCAGGGTCTTTAGAGAGTGGCAGTTAGTGTTGAAGCAATCTGGTCTTGTGGTCTGTTCTCTGCTGGTCGGCAGGTGGTCTCTCAGCAGTGCAGCTGATCTCATGTCTTTTCCAGAGTACCTCTGGGACTGGCATCCCTCCAGACATGGTTTGGGAAACCCTGAATGTGTCCGTTAAAGTCATAGCCAAAAGTGTCCACTGTTCCCTTCCACTCATGCCTCTCTGCCAACAGGGGGCGCTGTTCTACCTCCTAGTATAGTCCACATCCTGCTGTATTGCCTGGCTGGGTTCACCTGCTAGGATTATAGACACCATTCTCCAGTGCTACAGTGTTCCCACGTGGCATCTCTGCAGCATCAATAGTGGAGTAGAATTCAGGTGATCCTGTATCCTTAATGTCCATGTCCACAGGGACAGCAGTGAGGTGAATCCCAGCCACTGCTCAGCACCAACCAGAAATCAGGACCGTCCGTCTGCAGATGCCCTGCCTCTGCTCCTAAGTCAGGTGGCACTAAATGCCATGCTGACACAGGTTGTCAAGAATGTGAAGCCTGGTTGGGCGGTGGTGGCACACGCCTTTAATCCCAGCACTCGGGAGGCAGAGGCAGGTGGATCTCTGTGAGTTTGAGGCCAGCCTGGTCTACAAGAGCTAGTGCCAGGACAGGCTCCAAAGCTACAGAGAAACCCTGTCTCGAAAAAACTAAAAAAAACAAAAAAAAAAAAAAAAGAATGTGAAGCCTGCGACATTAGGAAAGAGTCTTTTCTTCCTTGTTTGGTTGTGTTCTCTTAGTGGCACTGGAGGGAAGGTGGCCAGGATCATGGTGTTGCTGCCAGGCTGCATGTTGCAGTTGGTTTCTTTTGCAGAAAATCCAGAATAAAGCATTTTTTTTTTCTTTATTTGGAACCAAAGTTGGGGCTTTAAGTCGAGTAACGACCTGGCCAGCCACGTTTCTCTCATCTGCATCAACACCCCACAGTCCCTGGGGCTTTCATTCTGAGCTCTTAGCTGTCACTTCAGAATCGGCACTAAGGAGGAAACCAAGTCTGTGGTGACCCCTGATGTAGTTATTGTGCTTAGTGACACGTGTGGATGAGGCCGAGGAGGTGGCTGGGCGGGTACGGCACTTGCCATACAAGTTCAGGACCCTGGGTTCAGATCCCCATGACCATAGAAAAGCTTTATGCAGCTGGTGTCTGTAGTGCTAGTGCTGCTCCAGCAAGACGGGAGGTGTGGACAGGAAGTGGGGGCATCAGGCATGTGCAGCGCAGAATAAGAGACCCCAGCTCAATGTCATGTGACCTCCACCTACATTCACACAGACACAGACATACACAAATACTTTTTAAAAAGTGTTGTTGGGCAGTAGTGGCACACATCTTTAATCCCAGCACTCGAGCCGCAGAGGCAGGTGGATCTCTGAGTTCAAGGCCAGCCTGGTCTATGTACTGAGTTCAAAGACAGCCAGGACTACACATAGAAACCCTGTCTCAAAATCAAAAAGAAAAGGTGTGGATGAGCAAGGCCTTCACCCTCACCCTGCTTATTTCACTCCACGTTCAGAGTACACGAGCCGAGCCTCTTAGTAGCCATCCAGCGTCCATGCATAGATGGGTACCTACCTCCTCCGGCTAGACCCCAGCTCCTCCCGGAGGTAGAGCTGTCCAGTCACCATGTGATTGCTGGGAATTGAACTCAACCTCTGGAAGAGCAGCTTGTGCTCTTAGCCTCTGAGCCATCTCTCCAGCCCGACATCTTGACTTCTTCGGAGATGGCACTGAAGACTTGTGTGACCCGGTCAGGTGCCTTTTATTGACTTTTTGATCCCCCTCTTTAGGCCACATCAGAAGATGTGAATTCTACCATCAAGACATTTTTCTGTCCCAATGATACCTACAATGACATGGCCACACTCTTCTTCAACTCCCAGGAGTCTGCCATACTGCAGCTCTTCCATCAGGACGGTGAGTGTCAGGTGCTGCCCCGCCCCCCGTCACCTACCCCCCCACACCCGTGGGTGTCAGCTCCCGTGCAGGGTTTTCCTCTGTAATGGCAGCCCAGTGTTGGATGGTGTGACTAGGCTGGGGTACAAAGGACCTGGGGGGGGGGGACCCACTGCAGACTTCTGGGCCTGTGCAGGCATCTGCTAGTATGACTCGGACTGTTCTCCCCTGCAGGGACTTTCAGCCCCATCACCTTGGCCTTGTTCTTCACCCTCTATTTCCTGCTGGCATGCTGGACTTTCGGCACTTCTGTCCCCAGCGGCCTCTTCGTGCCTTCCCTGCTGTGTGGAGCAGCTTTTGGACGTTTAGTTGCCAACATCCTGAAAAGGTGTGGTAATGTGTATATGTATGCCCACATTTACAGGTGTGGTCCCACACCACCAGTGTGAGTCTAAACATGGTTCTGTTTTTCTCTTCACCAGCTACATTGGACTGGGCCACATCTATTCTGGGACCTTTGCCCTAATTGGTGCAGCAGCTTTTTTGGGTGGGGTTGTGAGAATGACCATCAGTCTCACAGTCATCCTGATCGAGTCTACCAATGAGATCACATACGGGCTTCCCATTATGATCACTCTGATGGTGAGCACTTCCTCCAGCTGCTGGTGGGCTGCAGGCCAGGCTCAGCTCAAGGGCTGTCTTCAGGAGTCTGCTTTGTGTTCCAGGTGGCCAAGTGGACGGGGGACTTTTTCAATAAGGGCATTTATGACATCCACGTGGGCCTGCGTGGTGTGCCTCTTCTGGAGTGGGAGACAGAGGTGGAGATGGACAAGTAAGAGCTGGCCACTTCATCCATCTTTGCACCAGAGTTTCTAAGCTCAGGGCTGTAGAGCCTTCCAGGGTGGGAAACGGTAGCTCACATTGCTCAGATTAGAAGAAGGCACATTTACGTCCCCTGTGTGTTTGGGCATGTTGAGCAGCTTGAGTTGGTTAGGAGTCTGGAGAGCAGGGAGCAGGCTGGGTAGCATGGTGGGACCTGGAGGCAAGGCTGCTTTGTGAGTTTTTGGCTCCTTAGTGTCCTGGCCAAGTAAATTGTGAGAACAGGATCAAGCTTTTACTTGGTTAGATGTTCACACTGAAACTGTACAAAGTCCTGGCAGTGACACCAGCTTACCCACACACCCAACCAAGCACCACAGAATCTCGACTAGGACATCCACAGGTGTTTCCAACCACTTATCTGGGTATCGGGCAGGCCTCATGAGCTAATGCAGGTCAGTAGCCTTTCCTGCAGCAAGCATTTTCAGCATTGTGAGCCTGTCAGCCCCACAGTGCTGTCACTACAGCCATGGGCTCTGGCTTGTCATCCTGGTCTAAACAAGGACTCCAGAATTGTCCTATAACTTTCAAGATGATTAGATACTAGCAGTGATACGTGGCATGTGATGTGGCATTTCAAGGAGTGGCTGGCCAACCCTTGGGAAAGCGGAAGGGCTTCGTGGAGAGGTAGCAGTGACCCTGTAGCATGACACAGTGGGGAGCAGTGTAGTAGGCATGGTGGTGGAAATTGGAGGAAGACGGGCCCTAGTGATCCAGGTGCAGATGGAGAAGCAGCACTGCCCAGTCCAGCCTGTCCCTGGTGGTGGTGTCTCTTTGAGGCTGTTACAGCTTCCTCCTGTACAGGCTGAGAGCCAGTGACATCATGGAGCCCAACCTGACGTACGTCTACCCACACACACGTATCCAGTCTCTGGTGAGCATCCTGCGCACCACCGTCCACCACGCCTTCCCAGTGGTCACGGAGAACCGGGGCAACGAGAAGGAGTTCATGAAGGGCAATCAGCTCATCAGCAACAACATTAAGTTCAAGGTAAAAAAAAAAAAAAAAGAATGGCCCCAAAGGGAAGGCCAGTGAGGAAGGACCATTTGGCCTAACACTCATACTTTGTAATACTGCCTCTGAAGCCGTAGTGGACGTGGACTCTGTCAGTTTAGGAAAAGTCTGTAGCACCCTCCTGTATGACCCAGTAGGCAGCAGGAAGCAGGTGGGTAGGCCCCCTTTTAAAGCCAGTAGGCTTGGTGTTAATTATTTACCATATGCAAGCATCTGGGAGGGTTCTAGAGTTGCTGACACAAATGGACTCTGACCTACTTAGGAAAATGGGGGCCTAGGCGGAAGGATCCTTGAGAGCTCCAGGCCAGCCTGGAGTACCTAGAGAAACCCTGTCTCAATAAACCACAGACAGAATGAGAAAGAAATTGACTAGAAGCTGTAGACATAGCACTGGGCTCTAGGGATGCAGATACTGGCCTCCTAATGTCATTTGTGTACCCAGAGGAATGGGCAATTGCCTGGTCTCTGCCCTTGGGTAGCTTGAGCTCACAGCCCAGGCCCATCCCTCATGCAGACGATGTGACCTTTGTTGCCTTTGCTGTCTTTGGGAAGGGCAGACACACATTGACAGTCTCTCCAAGAGGCTGTAAGAGAAAAGTTGTTTTTCCTCTGCAGAATTGAGGAGTGCCTCTCCAAATGAGAGACGGTGGAGTCTTAGGCCAGCAAAGCCATGAGGTTGGGTACAGTAGATAACTTTGCATTACTGTGACAAAATGTGTGGCATAAAACCACTAGAAAGGCCAGGCAGTGGTGGCACACGCCTGCGATCCCAGCACACGGGAGGCAGAGGCAGGCAGATCTCTGAGTTCAAGGCCAGCCTGGTCTACAGAGCAAGTTCCTGAACAATCAGGACTACACAGAGAAACCCTGTCTCAAAAAAAAAAACAAAACAAAAAATAAACCACTTCGAAGGACTCCTTTTGAGGTGTCTTTCTGTCCGTCAGGGTCAGGAAGATGTGCAGGGGAAATAGCAGCAGCGTGGTGGGGAGGAAGCAGAAGACAGGAGTACAGGAAGGGGCAGGGCAAGATACGGCCCCGAGAACCAGACAGACATGCATGCATATGTATGTGACCCTGCTTCCCCCAGCCAGACCCCAGCTTCTCCTCTTCATCCGTCTGTGAGGTCAAAGCCCTCGGGGTCTGGTCCTATGGAAACAGACACCCAGAGGCTGCTTCCATATCACTACACCCTGGTCAGACTGACCGTCAAGATCAGCTGACACACTTGGGCTGGGCAGAGTGGGACTGTAGTGCAGTGGTAGAGGCTTCCCTATCAGCTTTGTATTCAATCCAAGGACTGGCTGACCTGCACCTCAGAAAGGCTTGCTGAGCTCCGTGGAAAGTGCTTTTTCCACATCACAGCCCCGTGGGTGCTCCTGTGTTTGTGTGCCCAGCACCACCATCCCTGTCCTGTAAGGACTCATTGTCTCCACACCCCATCCACAGAAATCCAGTATCCTCACTCGTGCCGGTGAGCAACGCAAGCGGGGCCAGTCCATGAAGTCCTACCCTTCCAGCGAGCTTCGAAATGTGTGTGATGAGCATGTGGCCTCGGAGGAGCCCACAGAGAAGGAGGATCTGCTGCAGCAGATGCTGGAGAGGAGGTGAGGTCCTTGCACTCTGCAGCCTCGGGGTGGAGCACTCTGCACCCAGTGGGTGAGAGTGAGCCCTTGAGCGTCTGGAGATCATGGGAAGGTGACAAGGCTGTGGCGGACGTGACCCTGCTGAGGGATACGAGGCAGCATCTGGTTTTTGTGTAACAGATACACTCCCTACCCCAACCTATACCCTGACCAGTCCCCGAGTGAAGACTGGACCATGGAGGAGCGCTTCCGCCCGCTGACCTTCCATGGCCTCGTCCTGCGCTCGCAGCTCGTCACCCTGCTTGTCCGAGGAGTGTGTTATTCGGAAAGTCAGTCTGTAAGTCTGGGCCCTGGTGTCCTGCAAGGCAGGAAGGTGACGGGCAAGCCCTGTTGTTGAGGGAGAGGTGGTCTGTGTGAGCCCCCAGGTGAGAGGGAGGTGAGAACTAGTTGATTCCTGTTGTCCCGCTTTCCTAGTGGAAGACGGACACCTCCTCCCCCACCAGCTCTGCTGTAGCCACCTTCTCTCCTTCATTTGGTTTTTAGGGTGTCCCCATGGCACCAAAGTCCATACCCCTCACACCTTCTTTTCAGCAGGAGGCTGAGCAAGTCCCCCAGAGTCCTGGCTTCCAGAGTGACTCTGCTGATGTTGGGAGTTGGGGTTTCTACTATGTAGCCACCTGAGCCCCTCTATGTCCCGCTAAGCCTACAGAAGAGCTGTTACCCTGGTGCAGGGGCCTGGGTGGAGTGTGGGTGACCAGCCTGGTTGGCGTGGGTAGAGAAAACCATGGGGACCTTAGAGACAAGGAAGTTGGCGTGGCAGCCAAGCTTGGGTCCTGAAGTACTTTGCCTGGCTACTAGAGCAGATAGATTCTGGGACTCCCCCGCAGTGAAGCCAGCTATGAGCCAGGTGAAGGCGGAGTGGAGTTAGGGAGCGGGGCCCACTGAGGACAATAGCCAGCCAGCACTGTGGCTCCTGTGCTGTCCTGTGAGCCCTCTCCCTGACCTCCCTGCCCTGTGACAGCAGCATTGAGATCGAGGGGTGGTGATAGCACCCCATGGGACCCTGCTGTAGCCGCTGCATCCAACTGCCATCAGCCTGGTAGCTCGAGGCAGGATTTATCTTAGTTCAAGACCAGAAGTACCAGATTGAGAGCACATGGCGCAGCTCTCTGAAGGCATTAGGAGAGGGGCTTTCCCGGCCTCCTCCAGTCCCTGTGGTGCATCAACTCCTGGCCTTGCTGCCTGCAAACACCACTTCAGTTTGACTTCTGTGCATGCGCGGGGCTCCCTCTTCCTCTCCCTCTTCCTCTCCCCATTCTGTAGGGACACCTGATGCTGGAATTCGCCCTAGTCCAGCGTGAACTCATTGTAAGCACATCGGCAGAAACTGTTTCCAGTAAAGGCAGCTGATAGGTTTACAGGTTGTCTCTGTCTGTGGGGACACATTTCAGCCCACAACCCCATTAGCAGTTTTCTCATCTGGTAGGACCTGCTTTGCTATCAGGCTGTCTCTGTCCTTAGCACCCGCTGTGGTCCCTGTTACTGGAAGACACTAGCTAGCAGAACTGGGGAGGGACTGTCAGAGTGACCCTCCTGGCGGCTGTTGTGTTGCAAGGCTGCAGTGTGTCTTGGTTGGAATTGCAGAGTGCCAGCCAGCCACGCCTTTCTTATGCGGAGATGGCCGAGGACTACCCGCGGTATCCGGACATACATGACCTGGATCTCACATTGCTGAATCCCCGGATGATTGTGGTGAGGAGGGCTGTCCCTCCGGGCTGTCCCACGTGCTATGCCCATGCTTATCCCAGGCTGTGGGTGATTCTTGCTTTCTCTTCTGCAGGATGTCACCCCATATATGAACCCTTCACCATTCACTGTCTCCCCCAACACCCATGTTTCCCAAGTTTTCAACCTGTTTAGAACCATGGGCCTGCGCCACCTGCCTGTGGTGAATGCGGTGGGAGAGGTGAGTGATCTGGGTGGAGACCAGTGTCCCTGACTGCCTCTGCTCTGTCCACCCACCCTGTCTCTTGTCTGTTGCATCAGTCCAGCAGGGGGCGCCCTGTGATCTACCTTCCATTCCTCCATTGCCTGCTCTTGTCTCAGCTCGGGAGCTTCTTACCTCCCCCTAGTCTGTGTTCCTTGGTCCTACCTCTTCTTGGCATCTGTAGCATTAATAGAATTTAAGGTGAAATTCTCAGAGGGTTTTAAAAAGTGATTATTCTCGTGGGCTCTCCCATCATCTCTTTTCCGAGTTAATTGTATTTGTGGTGTATGTGAGCCCAGCTTTGTGGAGCTGGTTCTCTCCTTCCACCTTCAGTGGCTGGGAATCGAACTCTGGTCACCAGGCTTGCGTGGTGAGCGTATTTTCCCTCTGAGCCAGCTTGTCAGCCCAACTTAACTTTTTTTCTTTTTAAAAAGATTGTATTTATTTATTTATTTTTATTTATGTATTTATTATGTGTGCAGTGTTCTGCCTGCTTGTATGCCTGAAGGCCAGAAGAGGGCACCAGATCTCATTACAGATGGTTGTGAGCCACCACATAGTTGCTGGAAATTAAACTCAGGTCCTCTGGAAGAGCAGCCAGTGCTCTTAACCTCTGAGCCATCTCTCTAGTCCCAACTTAATTTTTTTAAATTACATAGCTATTGTTACATTATCATACTATATTGTAGCAAAATAAGAAAATAAATAAAAATAAGCCCTGCCCCCTGCCCTGCTGAGGTTGCTGCCCTGTCACCTTCCCTGTGTGCGGGTTCTCTGTGCCTAGAGGTACTCACCGAGGGTCTTCCGTAGGGGCTCGGCTCTGCTGCCTGTTGTTTTGTCTTAGGTATGCTAGACGGTTATTCTACCATTGAGCTACAATGCTCCACCCACCTGTGCGACAGTCAGGCCTCATGGCTGTGTGGCCCATGTCCTCCTCTTCCAGTTGAGTTTCAGTACATGTCACCAGAATGACCCTGTAAGGAAGTGGTGCCTCTTTATGGGACCTCCTGCCTTCTCTCCATCCTTCCCTTCCATCCCATGCTGGCCTTGAACTTGAGGCAGTCCTCCTGACACAGCCTGTCGTGTGCTGTTATAGGCATGTGCCCTGGTTAAGGATATACGCCAGCCAGTTTTATGTCGACTTGAGGAAAGCTAGAATCATTTGGGAATAGGGACTCTGAATTGAGAAAATGCCTCCATAATAGTGGTCTGTAGACAAAACCGTAGTACATTTTATTAGTGGTTGATGTGAGAGGGCCCAGCCCATTATAGATAGTGGTCTGGGCTAGTGGTCCTGTGTGCTATCACAGAACAGGCTGAGTGAGTCAGGAGGAGCAAGCCAGTAAAGAGCAGTCCTCATGTTCTCTGCATCAGTTTCTGCCTCCAAGTTCCTACCCTGTGTGACTTCCTGTCTTGACTGTGCTCAGTGACGGACTATAATGATGTAGCTAAAATAAACTTTTCCTCCGCAATTTGGCCATGGTGTTCTGTCACAGCAATAGAAACCCTAAGACAGGACATGGCAAACCTTGGGTAGCTCAGTGACAGAGCGTGTGCCTAGAATTATTCATAAACAAGTATACAAAATAAAACATGGCTAGTTATGCCAGGCATTGTAGCACACACCTGTAATCCCAGCACAGCACATAGGAAGATGGTAAGTTCAAGTCAGCCTGGGCTATGTTGTAAATGAATCTGTCTCCACCCAAGCCAAAAACAATAGAAGAAGGTCTGGACCACACATAGATCTGTGCTGAGAGAAAGCAGGTGGCCCTTCCAAAGGGACAGGGTCCCCTTTTAGTCACCCCTTCTTTCTCTGCTCCCACTTCACTCCCCTTGCAGGGCCTCACTGGTTCCTTCCATGCAGCTCTATTTGTCCCCATGCCTTCTGAGAGTAGGAGGTCTGTGCCATGGACACACTAACCCTGTCCTGCCCCAGTTCTCTTTCTGTGTCTACATCCTGGGGTACACTGAGAGACCATTCTGTTCATGCATGTCCTTATGTGGGGTGTACGCTCTGGTGACTCGGGTGTGTTCTTCTTCCCTAGATTGTGGGGATCATCACTCGACACAACTTGACGTATGAGTTCCTGCAGGCCCGGCTTCGGCAGCATTACCAGACCCTCTGACAGTTGAGCTTGGCTGCCACCAGCCCACTCTCCCAGAGATGCCTCTGCAGGTGGCCTGCTCACACACTGGCCCCCATAGCTGGCATGAAGGCTCCCGGTCACCCACTTGCCTGGAGTCCTGGAAGATTGGGGTCAGAGGTTTCAGTGATGTGTTGAGCAGAAAGTTGGAGTTTTACTAACTTCTCAGCAAGAATTTTCCGTTTCTCCTTCCCCAGGCTCCCGTGGAGAGACATCAGGGAGAAGTCAGGCTGGGTCCTGGGTAGGCACTTGGTGCTTCTCTGTTGCTGTTTCTCAGAGAACCCAGCTGTTGCCCAGACCCTTCTAGGAAGGGTGGGCAGAAGCAAACATCGGGGGTGTTATTTGCATATCATGTTCATTACTGAGTTCAGGAATTGGGCCTGAGAACAGTTCCCCATGTTCAGGGAAGCATAGGATCAAGCCCGGGACCTCAGATCCTCTAGAGCTCTCTGCCTCTCCTTTGGCCCTTCTCATTCTGTTTCCTGGGAGTGGGCATGTGCTTGGTCTCCTTAGAATCAGTTCTGATCAGACCCATGAAGCACTAAAACCCTAGCTAACAGCCTTTGAACCATTAAATCCCATCATGGGGACAGCACCTTCTCCCCTCGCTGTAGGCATTCAGTAGTCCCAGCACCAGTTACACCCGGTCTTCCAGTACCGCTCTCTCTGCACACTCTCAGTCCATTCCTCCCCCAACCACTGGACTTTCCAAGCCTTCATCTTTGTCTTTCTGGTGGTGCAGCCCCAGCTGTGTCTTGGACTCATTCCCAAAGTTAACCAAAATTGAGGAACCCCCTCGACAGAACCGCTACCCCAAGCCCTAGAGGATTTGGAATGGCTCTACAAGCTGGCAAATAGGCGGCCCTGAGCCAGGGCCAATCAAAGGTATGGCTTTAGGAGGAAGCTGGTGGCTCCTCTCTTGGTCACTGCTCACTCCTGGCTTCCCACGCCACTCCCTGCTCAGCCCTCTTCCTGAGGACTTGGAGAGGAGCTTTTGCAGCTGCTGGGCTCAGGCCTGGGGAAGGAGTGGGTGCTCCTGCCCCTTGTGCCTCACGGCTGCTGGTTCTCTCTGGGTGGTACCTCAGGGAACATCAGAACTCACTTTCCTGCACCCTCGGGCCCCTGTGGTGGCTGTCCTTGGATACCAGGGGACTTTTATTTGCATTAGATACTGTTTTTTTCTTTTTTGGTTTTTTTTTTTTTTTTTTTAATTTGAGTATAGTTTATTCACTGGGTTATAGGAGAAAAGGAGAGAGGGGGGAGAGGGAGAGGGGGAGAGGAAAGGAGTTACTGCAGCAGCTCTCTTTTTTGGTTTTTTTGAGACAGGGTTCCTCTGTGTAGTTCTGGCTGTCTGGAACTAGCTCTGTAGACCAGGCTGGCCTCAAACTCAGAGATCCCCCTGCCTCTGCCTCTGCCTCTGGATGCTGGGATTATAGGTGTGCACGACCACTACCTGGTGCATTAGATACTTTTTAAATCATGGAAGTTGCTGGAGGGCATTTGTGCCAGGGTCTGGCTTCTAGCACCAGGGTCTCTGGGCCTGGCAGAGTCTTCTGATCAACATGTGAGGAATTGTTCCATGACCTCAGTCGGGGCTTACATTGGGTCTCATCGTCTGATTGTGACCCTGGCCCTCCGTTTTCCCCATTTACTTATCTTTTTACCAGAACAATCTGTTTTCCAGATTCTGGCCTGTGAGGTGGGGGTGGGGATTGAAACTAATTGGGAAAATAGCCCTTCTAAGCAGGGATCTGTCTGCCCAGCTGCCAGCTTCATTTTACAACTGACTTGAGTGTCTGCCCTGCTATATCCTCCATCGGGAAGGAAACCAGTTGCCCACACCAAGAGAAAAGCTTGACACACTACAGAATCGTCTTCCCAGCCTGTGGGTTTGCAGAATAGCAGCCTGCAGAGGACCTGAGCCCACAACTTGCCTCTGAGGCAGCCCTGGTGACCCACTGCATTCTGTACACACACACACACACACACACACACACACACCCCGTGCGTGATGAGTCACCGCCAGTGTAGCCCAGAATAGACGGTGCGGATACGTCTACCCTGGAGCTGGAGCCCATGCCCCTCTGCCCCTTTGCCCCTCTAGGACACTCAGCCCCTTTGTCCCTCCCCACAACCTGCCTATCCAGAAAAGCCCAAAGACAACAGCTTCTCCACCCATGAACTAGAGCTGTAAGCCTTGGACCGCTCCCCCACAGCTGCCCCATGGAACCAGTAGTACAGTATCTCACCTGCCACAGTTCAGTGGCCCCCCAGTGCCACAGCACCTTGTCAGAACAGCCCCACTGAGGGACCACCCGAGGTTGGATCAAGGCAGGTTTCCTGCCTTCTGCACCTGGGCATTGCGTGGCTCTCTGGTCCTGCTGTGGGAGTTTGGTGTTGTATGAGCTGTCTGCATGTGACCTTGGTTAAGCAGTTCCAGCTGGAATGGACATTAGCTTGATTCAGCCAGCGTGTGACAGTTTGATGCAGACCTTGGTGACAAGAAAGCTTCCGGAAAAGCCAGCCCCGCAGTGTTGACACGCAGTGGTGCCCTGGCTCTGATGGACCTCGGTGATTGTCCAGTTGCAGCTTCCGCCTTTCTGTTTGCACTGTTTATGTGGTGACATTAGCTGGGTCCACTGTGGAGATGAACTGTATCTTTTTTAATTTGTAAAACTCTATTTTTATTTGACCCTTTGGAAGGAGGAAGTTCTGTGGTAACTTTACGAAGTCAGAATAAAATGTCTGCACCTTCTCCATAGACCTTGTCTCCACCGCGCTCTTTCTTCTTAGGCTTTCGTTTTCCCTCCCCCTTTCAGGTAGGAAAGAGTTAGGGTGCTGGAAGGCAGTCTCTGTGAGACAGAGCCTGTGTAACCCAGGCTAGCCTCAGACTCACTGTCACGAAGGATGAGCCGTCTTCTACTTTACAAGTGTGGGATTAGGGACGTGTGCCATCGTGCCCAGCCAGAAGGTAATCTGCTGGCCCCACCCTGTAACTTCCTGTTCCCGTACCTGTCGAGGCTCTTCCCCGGCACCTGGCACTACTGTGGTTTGATTCACCTGTGAACACCGGCCCTTTGCTCTGTCGGTCTCTCTCTGCCAGAGCACCAGGGCAAGAGCCTACAGTCTGTTCTGCCTGCCTGCTTTACGACTCAGCCCACAGCTAGGAGCTGGAAGAGGGGAAGCCCTCACCACCCTCGTGTGTGTGTGTGTGTGTGTGTCCAAATGCACGTACACATGCGCACGTTCCCGCATCTGTCTGCTCTTTGTCCACTTGTCTCTTATTTTACGAGAAATACCACTCGCCGTGGCTGTGGCTGTGCTGTCATTGCCTCCAGTCACAGACAGCGCCCACCAGGCCCCTCCTGCCTCGGCTTTCACTAGGTCCTAGGGGCACTTTGTACCTATGTGTTCCTTTGTGTCCCTTCCACTCGGTGGCAACCCTGTGTTACCATAACACTGGAGGGTACCCCCAGCAGCCCATTCCTTTTCCCTAGCACTGGGACTCCCAAGTGTAGGCTGATGCTTTCCCCTGTCTCACACTGGTTCTTGTAAGTTGTTCCCCACCAACTGTTTCTTGTTAGTTGGTTGGTTTTGTTGTTGTTTTTCATGTACTGATTTGAGATCCAGATAAGAGTTTTTTTTTTTTTAATTCTGTTTACTTGTTTGGTTAGTTGATTTTTCTGAGATGGTGTTTCTTTGTGTAACAGCCCTGGCTGTCCTGGAACTCAATTTGTAGACCAGGCTGGCCTTGAACTCACAGATACCTGCCTACCCACCTCTGGAGTGCTGGGATTAAAGGTGTGCACACCACAGAACTGGGCCAAGATCATTTTGGTTGGGAGCGGTTGGAGTTCTTCCTTCCCCTGCAGCCCGTTACTGTTTGCTTCTGGCCTAGCCTCCCCGCCACATGTGTGCACTTACTACTTGCCTTCCTCTCCCCATTTCTGTACAATGTGCCCAGCACATTGGGACACAAGCACATGGCCACACACTCAGCAAACTGTGTCTTATTGGAGTTAGAAGGTGCACCTGTGATGTCACTTGTTTCCTGGGACTTCAGGGAGGAAGCAGTGTCCCCACTTAGCCTTAAATGGGTAGGATGCAGGGAGCACCGGAGGGTGGTATCCCGGGTTGGAGGTATGTGGGTGAAGGGGGTGTCGGTGTGGGAATCTGAGGTGTGTGCCCAGGGAAATGGGTGAGAAAATAACAGTCCTCCCTTGTTGAAAAGAAACCTGGTGTCCTGTCCTAGTGCAGCCAGGCAGAGGCAAGCAGAGCTCCCTGAGTTTGAGGCCAGCCAAGGCTACATAGTGAGACCAAAAATGAGTAAATTAATAAGCTGTCTCCTGGTGGCTATCACCTGCGTGCAGTGTACGATCCAAGCACCACAGTCCAGGGGTTAGGGAGGCCATGGCTGTTTTATAAATGCATTTGGCTCCCTGAGTTTGATCTCTGGCACTGATGGACACAGATGATGGATCTACACACCCTGGTATAGTAGTTCACAAGGCATTTGAACCTGTAACCCGTCCTTCACTGCGCTCAGCTTTGCAACCCGCCCTCCACTCGACTCTCACCTGAACTGCTAGTGTAGTTCATGGGGCTGCGGCAGCTCATGCTCAGGGGAGATCTGAGCAGTCCCTGGTCCTCTCAGTGCTCCCTAAAACCACCCAGGCTGCAACCAAAAAGTGAGATGGGTGCAAGAAAAGTGTCCCCTGAGCACAAGTGTCACCAGGAAAAGGCGAGTGTTTGTTCTTTTTCAGGAATTGAAAATAAATGACCTTCAGTCTGGGCGGCCTTTTCTGCCTCCCATGACTGGGCTAGAGTGAGCGGCTGAGCACGGTGAGCACTGCGTCTTGAGGTCCCCCTGACTTACCAAGGAGAGTCAGGGAGGGAGAGATGACAGGACAGGGTAGGGGGGAAACCAGGGACTGGGGACAGACAACGGAAAGAAAGCACCCGGACCTTGGCTTCTGTCCTTGGTGCTGAAGTTTATTCAAAACAATTTTTTCCAGCTGCTTTCCCAAAAGGGGTGAGGCTCTACCTTAATATGTGGGGTGGGAGGGGGAAGGCCCCCCTTGAACCACTGATCTACATTTAGCATCAGTCGTGAAGGATGAAGACAGGAAGCAGCCGCTCCAGCAGGGTGCTCGCCACACCTCAGTGACAATGAGACCAAGCTGCGTGACAGACACACCGCAGTGACTTAGGGTCTTCTGCACTCTGCTCCAGCGAATCTGGCTGGTTTTTCTCCCTGGCTGTTATCTTCGGTACTACAAAGAGAAAAATATGTTGGCCTGATGATCTGGCTTTGCCATGCTAAACCGTTCAGCTTGACAGTGACGAGCTATTTCCCACCAGCCACAATGTCATAAACTGGCAAACAAGTCTTAGTCCATTCTGTTTAAATCCGCCAGGCTCCTACAGCTGTGGGAAGAACACTAGCTGCCGGTCAGTTGGCAAATCAAAGGTACTTGGCCTTGTATTCTGATTTCCCGGCTTGTGGCTCAGCAACTGTAGCAGCTGTGGTATTGTCTCGAAACTTCTGGAGTGTCCACCATAGTGGGGCAGAACTCTCAGAAGGAATCAACACTGGCACTGGTCTCGGCTACCAGAGATGCTCCCTGCTAGTATCCCTTGGCAAGGTTTGAGCCTTAGCAAAATCATAGTTTGCCGACCCCACCCGACCCGCGTCTCATCTCCATTCACAGCTCCTCTTACCCGGAAGCTGTTGCATCCTAGTCCGCTCTGGGCTCCAATCCTGTCGATCCTACCCCCAAAGCAGCTGGACCTCCGTAGGCTCCGAGGGGCAGCGAGCAGAGCCCTCAGTTTGCTTTTCAAGAGAGCAGCTCTATCGGAGGGGTCCCAGGGACTGCGCCCGAGGGTACTCCCATCTCTCTGAGGTGGGTTGACCTCCCCTGTCCAGGGAGGTATCTCAGGGAGAGAGCTAAGCGCGGCCCCTGCTTCATCGTTCTGCTCACTCGGGGTCTGTGGGGGCATGACCTCATCTTCTAATGGCATCTTCTCTTCCAGATGGTCTAGCAGGTTCTTTACAAAGGACAGAACAAACAAAGGGAAAGGGTAATGTCTCAGAGGAATGGACTAGGTACCAAAGAGACCCAGTCTGTACCCCACTTCCTGACCCTACCTTGAAATCCATCAGATCTGTGTTGGATACTGCACTGTACACAGGGTTTGCTCCAATATGGCCTGGAAG